GTGAAGCTCCTCGGCTGGAAACCCGTGACATTCCCTCCCAACAAAGGTTCATATCGTGACATTCCGCGCGGCGCAGTCCTCCATCAATCTCTTCTGGACCGACTGCAGGAGTTCTCAAGCTACACGCCTGGAAACAACCATGGCGACAAGTCGAATGCCTGTTTCAAGGGTCGTAACAAGGCTTTGGTGTATAACGAGAAGGAGATTGAGGGTCTGTCTGAGGATGCGAAGGCGCAGAAGTTGGCTGAATCGCACTTCAAGATCCATTCCGAGGGGGATACGTTGATCTGGGAGGATGATAAGAGACATCAGACGTATGACTTCAACCCTCATTTCAAGGGCGCTCTGCATCCTGCAATTGTTCAGTAGTAGAGCTTTGTACGGGACGGGAAAGTTGGCGATACGGTTGCTTGGATGTACGGTATTGAGGGTAATTTGGTTGACAGATGTAACAAGAAGGGAAGATTTTACAATTTCTAGGCTAATATTGTACCAATTTGGGGGATTTCTGTCTTCAATCATCTCGAGAAAAGTGCTAGCCAGCCGTGTCCTTCACCGAATCTCATCTGCGCGTTCTCTTCGTCACTCCAGAGTAGAAGATATCTGGTCAAGGACCTTTCTCGCCACCTTCGTGATGGTTAAGCAGAGCGGCGGTTCATCCGAAGACGAGCAAGCAGACTGATCCGTTGGCGGGCAGTCAGACGCCGTAGGCAGGGTATGCCATCTCGTCTGTCGCTCTTCCAGCCGCTCAATGAACGCGACGAACGACTTGTCGCGATGGTTCTCAATGCCGAATATCTCCGATTTGACAACATTGTACATGAGACTCTTCCACTGTTCGGGCGACACTTCAATCGGCACCAACACTGCATCGACCACGGTGAGTGACTGACCCAGAGGATTGAGCGCGACCTTTAACTCTTCTCCCTTGCGGGTCGCTTCAATTACTCTTGCATCAATCGCCTTGATGAGCCTAACGTAGGACTCGGCGATGCAGACGCATAGAATGCCCAAGATGCCCGCATTTTGCAGCACAGATGCGAAGCGCATTGGGCACTTTGAGCATTCTAGAACATCTGTTGCGCGCTCGAATGTATTTCGAAGAGCAGTTAGATCATCGGGGACAATTAGTTCGGTACGGACTCCGAGGCGATTGAGGAGAAGATAGAGGATCGACAGGCATGCGCATGAAGCGTTGATGTCTGTCTGTGTGAGGATGTCGCTGTGAGATTGCGCACTGCGGAGGGTTAGAAAGCGAAAAGGGCGGCTCTTTCGACAGGTTCTCACGGCGCAAAGCTCTCAAAGTCCGCGAGATATGGCGGTATATCTGTATTAGCTTCGTCGGGGGTCGGTCGCTCTTCTGTAGCGATCGTTATTCGGGGGGTATTCGACTGCACTGGTGACGGCCCGCGATCGTCCTCCCGAGCAGGACTGAACGGCGCGCGCGCTATCACGCTGGGCCTCTTTGGTCTGCCAGCGCGTTTCTGCAAAGAGTAGATACATCCTCGGTTAGAAACGGTGCATTTCGAACACACCGGGTATTCTCCTGAGCATCGGACCTTTCGCGATCCTACGGGTTTGGGTACGGATAAGCCAGCTGGAACCGGCGCTCGACGTCTTGTCACTTACTACAGGGCTCGCAAGAAGCTCTGGCCCGACCAGGAGTAGAAGCTGTAGAGGATATCGCCGGGGATAGCATTTTTGTAAGGAATTCTCGCGATAGACTCGGGGTTATAGACTGCGATGGAGGGAATGATGTATTCCAGGAATGGACCGAGCGGGGATTTAATGTTCCGGGCTAAACCCGCCTCCGGACCATTTACGCCGGTGATCGGTGGTCTTACAAGGACGGTTTCCAGCAGTACTCTCGGGATCATCATTTATTGCTCTTGAGATGCTGTAAAAAATATTTCAGGGTTATAATTAACTATTTTAAATGAATACAATGGTCTAATGATCTGAGTGAACAAAACGCGTGCGTGAGCCTCAACTCTAAAGCGAGGCACACCAAGAACAGAATCGCAACACCAACGTAAAACACCGAAACTAAAACACCAAAATAAATTACGTCAAAACACATTTCCGCTACTCAACGCATATTCAAGAAGCGACAATAGAGTTGCGTGAGAAGTCTATCGTTTCCCCCTCTTGCTGTTTGCCCCTCCTGGCCTGTCGGGCTTTTCTGGCGGCAGTGGACTTTCGCTTCATCGAGACACGACCGGCAGGCTTCTTAAGGGTACGGCCAATGGACTCCTCCTTGCTCGGCTTCGGGGCTTTCCTCCATTTGAAGAGCCCCGGGTCATGTGAAGGATAGTAGTCCAAGTTCCAGGTGCCGCCTTCATCATAGTTGACCAGAGGGAGGAAAGGTCCCTGCATGCCTGGACGAGGACGAAGACTTCTATAGCGCGCTTCGTTGCGCTTTGCAACCAATTCAGTTCCTTTGAGCGGTGGGTTGGCCCGGGCCGCGGAGAGGTTTACCTCTTCGATGATATCCTGGAAACACTTCACGTCCCAAGCTGCCATACTTGTAAAGGTCCAGCTCGGCCGAATCCTGTCCTCGGGGCCGAAAATATGTGGAATCGTCCAGGCGTGGCTCAAGTCACACAGCTGGCCTTCGTAATACTGCTGAGACTTGAGGTCGCGTACGACGATGCCGCATTTGTGGAGCTGGCGAAGATTGCGAAGCATACGTGGTAAATGCTTGATCTGTCTCTGTTCCGCTTCTCGTGTCATTCCACCTGTAGGCGTTCGGTGGTTGGGGATCCAGTCTTTGACGATAGCCATGATGGGTAGATCGACTTCATCGTCCTCCATTTCCATCACTTCTTCTGAAGGGAATATGGCTTCCGGTAAGGAGTTGCGGACCGCCGCTTGGATCTGCTCGTCGATCTGGTGTAAATAGAGGCGCAGGTAGCCGTGCACTTTGACGGCAAGATGCTCCTGACCGAGCTCCTTGAGGCGACCGAAGGCCCGGCACTCGTTGTGGAAGGAAGTTGCATGAAGACGTAGACTGTCGACCACATACTGGGGCATCTTTTCGCTGGCGGTCAGTCGCTCTTTCTCCTCTCTTCCGACGAAATAGCCTTTGTCAATGGGGTCTAGTTCGAAGTTGGGCTCGTGTACATAAACGGGGAAGAACTGAAGGTGAGTTAGCAGCTGGCATGGTGATTCTGTTCACGGTACCTACAAGTTTGATGACGTAGATCTTGCCATCGATCTCGGCCTTAACGACCGCTGAGTGACAGCCAGAGCCGAGATATTCCAGGAACTTGAAGTCGTGCTTGGTGAGATCATCGGTGAAACACTCAAGCTTTGGGCCCTCACAATCCGGTAGCGGTTTCAGTGTAGGCATTGTTAAAGATACAGTGGTGGCGGATGTTGAAACGAAATCGAATAATGAGCAAAGGACAGTTTTTGAAGAGTTCTTGACGTTTGTTTTTTTGTTTTTTTGTTTGGAGGTAAGGATGTTTTGCTGTCTGGTATAGCTGTCATAGTTTCAGGTAGAGGAGGCTTGAAGGGCTTCCTTAGGGTGTTTATTAACTAGGAGCCGACAACACCAAAACACAGGGCGAAAAGTGTGTTCAGGCAGAACAAGCTTCTATCTTTGTTGTTTTCTTTCTGTCGCCAGTTTCGAACATCATCCCGAAAAGGAAAGGAATCCGGAAATAGCATCTCAAAAGGGGGAGGGGGGGTTAGCAACAAACAACTGAACACACAAATCGCGACGCAACGTAGATACCGACCGTGAATTTCTTTGTCGGTGCCAGGGTATTTGCGTTAGGCGGTTTTTCTAATGTCAATAGTGTATTAGCCGTCAGCATGGACCCCCGATCACTGACGGTTCTGCCAGTAGAAAGAGGGTTTCTTTGTTACACCAACTAACATGCCGCAGCAACGCTCCCCTCTCATCAAAATACAGCGCATCTTCGCTTTCTGCAGCAGCCCGTCCCCTGCTTTTCATGCCACAAACTGATGAGCTTGGCGCACCTCAAGCAATCAAGCCGCGGCGCCAGAGCAGCAGGTCTGAGTCTCATATCAAACGTTCGTTGCCTAGCCGTTGTGGCGGTCAGGGTTATTTACGGTAGCTTTTAATGGCGTACATAGCTGATTGCCAGCTGTCCACTGTACTTCTTGGCACTTCCAATACCTCCCAGTAGTCTATCACCAAGTGTTAGGTTCACGGGCTGATGAGTCTGGCAAGAAGAATTCCACGACATTACACCAACAGGCATGGAGTCGTTATCTTAAACCAAACCCTCAAAGATGAGCCGCCTGAATCTATCTCTTCTAAGTAGCGATGGCACGCAGACCTGCTTGCCGTTTGGCAGTGCCCTGTCCTGACTCCCGTTCCGCAATGTCCTGTGTTTGCTCCCGGCTCCGGGGACTGCGGCTCATGGGCTGCCTAATTTCTTCTGAACTTATATGAGAACTGATATTCTGAATTTCGTGGTGTCTCTCTAGGTATCGACGCAGAACTGAGGACGCGTAGGTCAGATAACAGGGCATGTCACATTTCGCTAGCGCTTTTATTGAGAAAACTGCGAAGGGTTCTTCAGGGCCTGTGAACTGTGTCCATCAGTTAAGTATCAAGACCATTTGGACACTTATAAATCCGTCCTGCCCCCAGCTGTGTTGGAACATTCATTTTTCCTTTCGCATCTAAATCTAGACATACTTTCTGGTTCTCACATTATTGCATCTCGTTATTTATCCATACTACATCATCTATCTATTCACGATCTCACGAACTCAACGGGAAACATGAGCCTCCGACCTTTCAAGGCACTCCCGTGCCCGACTTTTCTGTACACATCAAGCGGAGTGTTTCAATCCGATATGCTCTCTCGCAACCAAACCCCGCGCTCCTCGGCGCTGAGCACGCTCCATCATCTACCAGAGGCGACACGACCCGCCATGCTGTCAAGGCCTTGTCCATCTTGAAATGGACCGACTTCAATATTGGGGTCCTAGAAGACCTCTACAAGGACATGCTGAGCCAAATGGTTCAGTCCCCCAGCGGCGCCAAGAGCGGCCCTTTTCATCTCGACAACATCGAAGAAGCCAAAATGATGTTCCTTGAACACCTGGGTCCACGGCTTGAAGACCCCATCGAGCAAGGCGCGGCCCTTCTGGGCAGTCGGTTCGGTCATCAATTCCCTGCGGTCGTGGTCAAGCCCGGACGATCATTCGATAGACAGACTCCTACCCTTTCCTACGTGGCCGGCAACGAGCCTGATGCTCGTACCTTGGTCGTCAACATTTGTTTGCATGCCAACGCATGGCACTCAAGTATGATTGGCGGCAACAAGGCTACGATAGCTAGACGGCCCCTTGATCGTCTTGCTAAATACTGTCTCCTTGCCCGAACTCGTTATGGGTTCCTTATGAGCCCGAAGGAAATCGTTGTCATGCGCATTCGAGGCACAGTGTTCGACACTAGTATGTCTTGCCATGGCGAATGGCAAGCTATTCCATGGTCCGTAAATGGCCCGTACGAACTCACCGCGTGTCTGTCTATCTGGTTTCTGGTAATGCTGAGCCTTGATGACCTGCGCCTGTCAGGCTCTCCCCCACACTACCTCCCACCTCCATACTACCTGCCTGCACCCCGATCTCTGAACGTTTGGACGCGTTACCAGGTCCCTAAAGGGTTCTTCTACCGCCACCCTTCTTCTGGACAACGCGGGGCCGAGCTTCCTGAAGGGGCCGAGTTCGAGGACTCCCCCAATGGGTCTTCCTCTTGAACATCTTGAGCGTCTTTTCGTTGTCGCAGGATTTGCCGACGTCGAACTCAGCATTCCTCCAACGTCGACACCTGGTACAGGCCTCGTCCTCCCGACCTAGGCGCGACCATACAGTGGAGAGGGATGGCGCTTGTTTTTCCATTTCCTTTTTATTTATTTATTTGTCGTGCTGTCTGTCTCTTCCTTCTCTTTTCTTTTCCTTGCGTCTGGCGGGTTAATTGTCGTGGTGCAGCCTTTTCCTTGCTTGTGGTGAGAATCGCCGTAATATGTCAGTCTTTACCTTGGATCCTTGTTGTTTGTCTCTTGTTTTTGTCGCGCACTTTAGAACTTTAGACTAGATACCATAGAAGCAATTTCTCTCTCTCTCTCTCTCTCTCTCTCTCTCACCATTCGCTCAACGATTGTGAGTGTTCGCATTGCACTGGTAAGCTTATGATTCTTCTTTTTTTCTTCCTTCCTGGGCCAATGTAGATTAGCGTCTGTCGCATCTCATCTCATCTCATCTCATAAACTCCATGTCCAAGATTCCGCCGTCCATAAAGCTCATCCCGTCTCCGAAGCCCCGCTCAAGCTCCCCACTCAATCCGACAAACGGTCCGTCCAACCCCACAAACGGCCCCTCAAGCCCCTCAAACATGTCTCCCGCTGGTAAGAAATCCACCTCGTGCACAGCCACATCATCCACGTTCAGCGCCTCAAAGACATCCTTTCCTGATCCTTTCAGCTCCTCTCTATACACCGCCACAGCCGTTTGCGCCCTCTGGCTGAGTTCGCCAACAACGCTTCGCAATGCTCTGAACGCTTCGTCGTCGATTATCTTTAGAAGCTTGTCGAAGAGATCGAGGGCTTTTACTGAGAGGTGCTGATCAATGTGGATTGAGTTGTGGCCGGGGTTGAGGATCATGTTGGCGAGGAGGACGATGAGCGCTGAGAAATGAGAGCAGCTGCATTGCCTGCGCTGGTCAGTAGTCTCCCGAGGCGTTCTGCAACTGACATACCAAATTAGACACTCTGTTGGTGTAGCTTCCTGGAATAACTTCATGCACCCTCTGCTCACTTCCACGCAATGATTCCATCCCTCAGCTAAAGGCGGTGCTTGGTCCTGACACTTTCCAGCACCATCAAACCCCTTATTCTCCAAGTTTCCAACAGAAGTTATCGTAGCTCTACTAAAAGAGCTGATCCTCTTGACCCATTCTGCATTATGGCTGTAAATACCGTGAATCATCACTTCCGTCAGCAGAAAAGCGTGATGCATCTTTGTCATCTGCACAAGCTGGCTTGGTCCCACCGTGGCAGCGACATGCTCGATATGGAAGACGGTTGGAATACGCTCATACCACTGATCGAGCATGGTTTGAAGCCGAGATACCCGTCGTTGTCGCTCTTGGGCTGTCACCTTGCTGGAGCGGTTGGAGTACAAAAGATCGTACACTTTGCCTTGTATGTAAGCTAGTTCCACGCGCCTTCGATGGTAGTTGAAGTGTACTTGGCCGTTTTGCGTCCATATCAAACCAACGCTATCTGGTGGTGCAAGTACAGGGAGACTAATGTCGATGTCTTCATCAAACTGGCATGAAGGTGTTTGCGCACGAAGACAGATGTCCTACTAACATAAGCATTTGAATTTACGCACTCGAACAACTTACCTTGTCAAGAGTGTACGCAATCCAAAACACTCGCGATCTCTGCTCTGCCTCCGCAGCCGGAAACTGCATCGCCGCTTCTTGCGAGTGCAACTTGAGTCTATGCGCCAGCCTAACCGCTGTTCCAATCAAAACACTCGCGGGTTTCGGATCACGACTATTCTGGAACAGCATCACAATACCTAGTAAGATCTGAACGCCGAGTAAATCCTCATCGCGCGTGACAAGTTCCGAAACAACAGTCTGTGCATTCCTCAAACATTGATCTGCCTTTTCAATATGCACTGATTGGCTGTCTCGTAATGAGAGCTGCGGAGTGCGATATCCAATGGCCATGACGGTTTGGATAGCAGCCCACGAAGCTCTGTCGCGAGTTTCGGGTTGTTTATACCATGTCGCTAAAAGCTTCATGAATTCTGGCTGCTGAAAGAGAGGAATGACGCTATTGAATGTTGTGAAGTAGTGGTCTACTATAGGTAGAATCTCATCAAGGGGGGGCAATTCCAAAATGTTTGGTTGAGGTCCTTGGTAAACTGCTGGGTTAACTGGGTCAAATTTCCAAGCAAATCCCCGTTTGGCCATCTCTTCGAAATTTACGGAGTTGTTGAGAACTGATTCCGCTGAGTCACTTGGGCTGGAATGGTCATCTGACTGCGGCCTGGCGTTTTGAGCATCTTTGGCAGCGTTGAGAACAATTTGGAGCTGCTCCTCAATACGAGCTAATCTTGCTTCAAGGCCCTCTTGGCGATTGTTCCTGAAGCAGTTACTAATTTGAACAGCAAAACCAGGAATAGGGGCGTACTCTTCTTGTTGCTTAGCCCCTGATCTAACTCTCGCAGAATTAGGCTTCCTTCTAATGATGCTAGTTCGACAGCTCGTATTATAGAGGATGCAATTCGAACAATCTGGTTTTAGCATGTCACATTTGATCTTTTTTGTGAAGCACAAATCGCATGCTGAGAATTTGTCAGCTGGGACCATATTCATAATTCGAGTTGCTGACCTTTGCGACGATTAGACGGTGTAGGATCTGTCTCAGCAGTAGACATGGCTATAACTGGCGAAATATTTAGCTGTAGACTTGTTTTCGTAAGTTTCAGAGGTTAAAAATGACGGGTACAGCTGATGAAGGTAATGTTGAGAGTTTTGTTGCAGATGCGCAGTGAGATGAAGTGAGGTTGAAGGGCTGACAAATCCTCCGAACGCAGGGTTCCACATAGCCTCATCAGGCTGTCGATCATCAGCCCTAAATTTAGAACCGTTGAATCGCCATGCATGACATGAGTTTGTTTCAGAAAACACAATCAACGACTCGGAATGGATACCCTACACTCTAATAATCATGTCTAAGCTCAATCAACCCATGATCTATCAGGCCTTAACAGTGCCATATGGAACTTGAGGTCCCGAATACTGAATGGCACGAACAAACTCATTCTTGTCCCCATCCTGTACGAGCTTCTCGTACCACGCGCCCATATCCTGGCCAAATGTCTGCACGACTTCAGTATCGCTCGCGTCAAGTGGTTCAAAGCCCTTTGCAATCTGCGCGAACTGAGCCCCAGCGACGCCCATACCCATCCCAAGATCATTCTCAACCATCTCAGTCGGTCGGATGGCGCCCTTGATGCGTCCCTCAATAATATCACCAGCCAAACGCGGTTCTGCTGCCGCAGGCCGTCCAATACTAACGCCATCAACAACATCAAGCGCGTCCACCATGGCGCCCACCGTTCTCAGCCCACCAGCGATAAAGATCTTCATTTTATGCGCTGAATCAAGCGCTTTGGTGATGGTCTCGGCCCACTCAAGAAAGAAACCCTCGCGCTGCTTGGTCGACTCTTTCTCCCACGACAATGCCATGCGCTCATAGGTCCCGCCGCTGAGTTCAACAAAGTCGAATCCCAGTGCTTCAAGCCTTTCGCAGAGCTCCCTCGCCTCGTCGGCTGTCACGCCGCCGTCCTGGAACTCTACGCTGTTGAGCTTTGCGCTGACGATAAATGTCGATGAGACGCGCGCCTTGATGGCGTTTGCTATTTCGGAAATGAGGCGGAGTCTGTTTTCAACCGTCTGAGTGCCGTATTCGTCGGTGCGCTTGTTGGTGGTTCGAGAGAGGAATTGAGAGAGCAGGTAGCCGTGAGCTGCGTGCAGTTCAATGCCGTCGAACCCGGCCTTCTCGAGATACTCGGCGGCGTGGGCGAAGCCGTCGATGATCTGGGCGATTTCCTCCTTTGTTGCGGCGTGCGGCTTGCCAAAGGTCATTCCCATCTTGGGGTCTGTAACAGTCAGTACGTGTTGTTGAAGCGCAGTGAGCGACTCACCGAGTTGAACGTCAGAGGCTGAGATGGCGACTGGGTTGAACTTGTAGGGAACTTGTCGCCCGGGATGGTTCACCTGAGCGAGGAACAGAGAGCCGTCCTTCTTGGCTGCTGCGGCCAATTGCCTGAACTTTTCGAAGCGCTCGCCCTCAAAGGGAGCATCGACAGGAATTCCGGGAGACGCAGCGCCGCCGACGGAGGTGAGATCAATGTCTACATTGCCAGTGACGACGATGCCAAAATTGTTCTTGCCCTCGCCCCATCTAAAACTGTCAGTCTGGGCCATCTATCGACGCCGTTGAACTCACCGTCTGTACAGCTCAATCAGCTCGTCGGTCGGGATTCCTCTCTTGGAGACGATCTCGGGATCCCAGCTCGCAAGCGATTCCGCCATGGGTGACTTGAGAAATCTGTTCTTTGCAACTCGGCCAGAGGGATGGAGGTGAAGCTCTTGGGCCAAGGGCTCAGGGCTGACGTCTTTGGAGGTGTAGCGGACAGGCATTTTGACGATTGTTATTGAAGTAGTGATTGTAATTGAAGTCGTGTAATTAATGAGCTCTTTTACGACGTCTTTCAGTCGCCACTTATATACAGCGACATCCTGAGTACCATGATCTCAATTCCGCATCATTACAAAGCTGAGTACGCAACACCGCGCTGTGGACAGACTCTGTTCCAGTTTGTGCGTATCCGATCCGAGAAGCAGAGTCCGAGCCAAAATAAATGCTCCACGGGCTTTCGATAGCAGGGGATAGCCCCAAGATAATCCATCGTTGTATCCATGGCGTTCCGTAACAGCATGTCTCTATGCGATAAGCGTATAAGCCCGCCCGGATTTGCGGTCCACGGCGTTCCACGGAGTTGAGTCCACTGGGTCGGACCGTTATTCAGCATCCAGCGCGCGCGAATTACAAATGCAACATTAGCAACTAGCAACTAGCAACCTTGAAAATAACAAATTATCAATTTATGGAGTTCTAATACATTTGTATCACTATTTTCTCGGGAAAAAGAGTGCCCCGTGGACTCGAACTTCCTGGCCCCCTTTCGTCTGCTGCCTCGAATCTTAAGATACAACTGAACAATCGACGGCCAGATTAGTAGTACATCAGATCAGGTCACAAGACAAAAGAGCTATAATGAATACAGTCAATGGAAATCCGTTCCAGATTGAGGTTTGGGAAACAGAACTGGTATAGAAACTTCAGGTTGAAAAGGCTGAAGTGAGGTATCGGGCTAAGAGCAAGGAGACTCGCACGCGCCGGCCTGCTCCGGCTAACCACGGCCCCACTCTCCGGATGTCTGTTCAACGCGACGCGAGATGAGCGATTACGAGCCACGCAAGAATACATTTCAACAGCAAAGAAGAACGTTAGAACGAGACTAACAGAAGAGGATAAAAAAGGAAAAGAAAAAAAATTGGTAGCTTCTCTTTGATTGAGCGTGTCATCCTTAGTGCAGGGGCCATGCTAATCTTCTCTAGAGTGATGTTAGTTGGAGTCGAACGAGGATGTTTCGGAATAATTACCTGTATCGTTTCAAATTGACCTGATGGTAGCGGCAGAACCGCTACCGACAGCTTGCGTTAATTTGTAGCTTATATACCCTTAGTTTGTTACAAGCTTTATGACAGGGATCCTGCTCCCACTGACAACAGCAGGCCCCGACCAACGCTCTTTGGTATGTAACCAAAGGCTCTGAACAGAATTCTTTTCTCTATGTTAATTCTGGAGAGTGTTCTCGTCGCTTTTCAGCATTGTAGGGGCCCAACAAAGCCGACCTAGTCCAAGATATCTGGCAATGCCCAAGCGGCAGGGCATTCCACTGAGACAGACTTAACCAACCAAGTCATTCTGCATAATACAGCAATTGAGATATTGCTTCTGCGGTATGCTTGACTCATTTTGCAATTTTTTTGAGGTAAAGTTCTTGTGGCTGTAAAGAATGGCTGGTTTGAGTTTGTGTGCCCTACTGTTGAAGGATGGCGGGGCGCTTGTGACAAAGACTCACCAATTGGAGTTGCTCACGCCAGTCTTGCTGAACTCGTACTCTAGACCATTGGATGGAATGCTATAATAGTTGGCGTTAAGAGAAAGAAAGAGAGGGGGGAAAGAAATAAACACAATCTCATGCGAAGAACACGATATTCCCTTTTTACTAAACTCCTTTGTTACTGCTATTAACAGCAAGCGACCCTGAGGTCGGCAAATACGTCATTTCACTGGGCACAGGGTAATCAACTTCTTCATACTGTTCAACGAGTTGAACTGCCGGAAAATCCGTGGTCCCGGGCGATGCTTATCTTATCGCGCGGTTCCTTATTCGAAGCAAATCCCCTGAATCTGTTGTCTTGCTTCAGTCTTCTCATCAGAACCAATTCAGATTTAAAGTCTCCTAACTCTGAATCTCAAGCAGCTGATCTCATTCCGGCGCACCGAGCTAGTTGTGATATGTACCGCCAAAATGAGCGATTTTAAGAAAGCTCTTATGCGCAAAAGTTATTCATATTGAAGGCGTCAAAACGATCACTCGGGAAGGATGATGGATATTGACAAGTACGAAAGCTCATTGGCTTTCCGGATTCAATTTCTACCTGTCTGAGATTTTGTTGTCGCGGGAAACCGTGTGGCTGCCAGATGGCTTCTAGCCCCCAGCCGGATGAAACCATACGACCCAAACACCCTCCCATAAGACAACCAGAACAGCAACGAAACCAAGAACAAATGAAAACAAGAAGCAATATCGTTCTCTCGGTCACAGTGACCGATGATTCCTCCCTCGAAACAATCACATAAGAAAAAAACACAGCGCGATATCATTACCCGAAACTAAGCCTCACCATCGCCCTCAGGAATCGCCTCTTCGTTCAACTTCTCCCGAATTTCGAGGTATTGGAACACATTGGGTGGAGGTGCAATGGTTTCCACCTCATAATTGATCGGTCGACGGTACAACATGTCGCGTAAATCTTCCCGAGTCTCAACGTTCTCCGTGAATGTGCAATACCACCCCAGCGCAGCTGAAAACGGACATTGGAACAGATCAATGCCATCAATGTTTTTGACTACCCGCCTTTGGGCCACGCAACTTTTGGCCATGCGTACATTGCGATCTGCCACCTAAAAAGCCAAGTATTAATAGACTATAACTTCAGGGAGGTTAGAATCGTATGACTTACCCAGCAAAGATCACATTTTTGCCGTGTTCCAGCTCCCGGAGTTACAATTAAGGCCTGGTCTGGAAGGCTGCCAATATGAACATCCTCACCAAATACTTGTTCAATCAGGTCAGCTGTCTCATCCAGTGTCAATATCTTAGGGCGCGGCTTTGACACATATGGCACGTCAGCCACAACGAGCTGTTGCTTGAAGAAGTCGAATTCGATTGCACGAAGTCGGCAACGATAAGGAACCCAGACTCTCTGAACCAGGATATCCTCGTCTTGCTGCCACCGCCAGTTTAGCAAAGCTCCGATGGTCTTGATAGAATGGAGCCAGCTCAGCTCGAGGAGGTCAATCTCCTCACCGAATTCTCGCGCCTTCATCGATTTAACCCTTGCAGTAAAGGCCATGAAGTGCTCCTGTTTGATGTAACGGGTTTTCCATACACCATCTTCTTCGAATTCAATTCGTATACCCAACCGGAAAGCTTCCTCCCAGCAGTCGAAGGGCCCAGGCTTTGGTAGCTGTATATAAGGAAATGGGTGTCGAGAAGTTGGATCAACGGTGATCTCCATTACAACATTGACAAGAGATCCAGGTCTGAGATTAGTTCCCTCAAAGGGGATATGTGGCCGAAACTTCGGCGGTTGTGTGTTGTTTCCAAGACCTCCGAGTACCGCAATGCGCTTATCTACCATTACTCGCCGGGGATGGGTCCGGAACGTCCACATAGCTGGCATTCCAGTACTAACATCCCCTGAAGTTGTAGTTCGAACAAATAGATTTGTATCGTGAATGATGCCTTCGGCTAAAGGCACAGACCAATTTAAGCCAATGGCAGGGTCCGGAAGACGGAGTCTTCTCAAAGGAGCGTTAGAGCTCTTGATACCGCTTGCTACATCCTGAAGCAGATTTGCGAGAGGTGTACCCGACGTTTGCAGGAGAGAATCCCGCTCGGGTGACCTACCCCATGGAGGGATATCACCAGCAAGAAGTTCCAATGACCCGGACTTATGTAACATCAAGGGATTGAAGGTCTCAAAAAGAACGACTAAGATGGTCTCAGCCCACGACCTGAACAATCTTGAGTTCGGTAGTGTATTCGAAATATATGCAATAGGAAAGAGGCGATAGCTTGCGCCTTGTTCTAACCGTTTCCGAGCCATATGATAGTGAAGTGTTGAATGGCGTTTTGATAGGCCATCAGAGTGTTGCCTATACCGGCGCCAAAGATTGAAGGTTCTCCCGATATAGCACGCAATGTTCATTTCATTGTTCTCATCGTAGTACAGCAACAAGTAGTAATACGTGCCAGCTTTGTTAAACTGAGCGTTCGAAGCAGCAGAGTCGATGTATATGCACTTGGACCAGATCTCCTCAAGCTTAGGCAAGCCATTTTCGAACATAGGCAGTGTTCCACAGTGATCCATACCTGTAAACACATGTTAGATTGAGCAACGGAAAGTCTGTATTAGTGTACTAGGCCACTCACCAATCAAGAGCTCCTTGACAAAAGTGCCGCGCTTGTCCGCCTCGCCCATAATGTCGACAACTCCCTCGGGAACACCGTACAACTTGAGTTGCTTCTGGATGTCTAGGTCGGCCATGGAATTCACGAAGCTCTCGAAAAATCTCTGCAAAGGTGAGGCGTTTTGCTGGAGTTGCAGTTTCAGAGATGGGTTCGCCAGGTTTGCAGCATCGACCAGGTTCACCTCTTCTTTAACAAGAACTCCAATCTCAATGATGGATGAGGGAACTAGGCAAACTCCATTTGGAAAAGGTGTGTCCTTGCGCGGCTTGGGCCCGTTGGGTCCATCTTGGAGAAGCTGAACCTGAGGATAGTGGGCCAGCTCTTCACCGATGAAATTCTTTGTGATATTCGGAATGACCCCAAAGTCTCCAATCTTCAGCGGAATGAATCCTTGGACACCACCGCGGGTTCTGAGAAACTCAATATCTGATGCAGTAAGCTCTTTGGTCACCCGGAAAGTCTTGTATAGAAGCTTTGGTGGCTTGGAGGGTGTTCCGTGCGAGCTCGATGTTGTAGTAGCACGAGGTCGAGACGGGATTCCGCCTCCAGATGCTGGAGAGCCACTCAGAGGTCGGTTAGAAGGACTTCCCGATCCAGGAGTGCCTCTACCGAGGGAGGGAGATCCGGGTAGAGGTCTAGCAGGGGTGCTTGGACTTGCTGATGCGAACTGCGCCGGTCGCGACAAGGGAGAAGCAGGAAGGGCCCCAGAAGAGCTGGTTCTCAATCCAGTAAACTGCCCTGGTGGACTTCTCCCAAGACTCGGACTTGGACCACCTACAGAGCCGATAGTTGGGGCCCGTGGACGAGCAGGTTGTGATTGTGCACCAGATAGGGGAGACCCAGGGAGAGGGCCAGAAGAACTGGTTCTTAGTCCAGTAAAGTGTTCGGATGGACTCTGAGGAGTTGACTGGCCTGGAGGACCAATGGTAGGGGCACGTGGGCGAATGCCTGAGAGGTAACCCGGGGTTGATGGTGAACCAGAATGAAAGCTGGCGGGGCCTCCTTGTGTTGTTCTGGGCGGTCCAGAGGGGCTTCCTCTTCCCGGAGGCGGCGGAGGTACAGAAGGGCTACCTCTTCCCGGAGGCGGCGGAGGTCCTTGTTGATATCCTCTCGCGGTAGGTGGCGGTCCGGCAATGGGAGCAAAATAGCTCCGGATACTTGGGGTACCTTGTCCGGAAAACGTCGTGGCTGGGCGGCCAGGCCTCTGAGGAAAAGATTGAGGATTGGGTGGCTGGTTGGGGTTGGGAGCACTGCCGCGCCCAGCTGAGGGACGGTTTGCGGAGTCTCTCTGGCGGTCAGAAGATCCTCCTCTTCCTGGACCAGACGAGTCTGAAGGACCGGGAGGCCGGTTTGGCGTCGTCATGGTGACGGCGAAGAAGCACTTGCTATTCTTGTCGTTGCAGCGCTGTCTATGAACAGTTAGTGAAAGATCAGTGAAGGTGAGGAGGAGGAGGAGGAGGAGGAGGAAGGATGATTTGAGACTTCCCTATTGGTATGATGGTTGGTTGGTTAAAGGTAAAAGGTCAAAGTCGGTTGTTGATGAAGGTAGTGAAGGTGTGTGAGTGTTGAGAGGTTGAAGAAGAAAGGTTGAAGGGGAAATGGCGAGTTTAAATAGTTAGAGAATCAGGTAGCAGAACGAAAATTCTCTGGTTGTGGGTGTGAAGGAGCAAAGAATAAACAACTCACGGCAGAAGTCTTACAAGCTGTTTCAACAACAGGAAGAAATCCACTTTAACAAGCAATGAATCACAGCTACGGGCAAAGGTGGTGGCCACTGCCGGCTAGCGTTAACAGTCTAGCAGTGAATAATAGACCAATAATACAAACTAAACTTGATTCTTGCGTTCCCAACTCATTGAATGCCATATCAGGCCATTTACTTGGTCACATAAGCGAGTTTGTAGATAGGTAGCATCATAGTAGATTGTTTGGCCGGAAGAAAACACTCTACACAAACACAAACGACAAAAATGTATCGCACTTCCAAACAGTTTGTCTGACTGATTTAAACCAAATACAATTTGATGTCAGAAGCAATTACAATCAGTCTCAATCAAGTTTGCTGTTTATTGTAAACATATTGGTGCTTGTCCATGATTACCATGCAAGCGCAAACACTCACAAGATTTCCGCAAACCCGAGGAAATTGCAGCATATTGGCCAAGTTTATCTCCGTCCACATGGATTTTCCTCTGCTCGTCGAGGTCTCTGAACTTGTTGACAATGTCGGCATGCATTTCACAGAGACTGATGTCATACCTATTTCAGGGTTGTTTTAGTGTAGAGGCCGGTGGTTATACTCACCCAACAGCAGGACTAAAAAAGCTTGGGAATTGATCCTTGATGTGAGTGGTAATTACTTGTGCAAGCTCATCTCAATTGGTCGGGTTTGGTGAGGAATTGATTCCAAATGCCGAAGGTTCACCCATAGCTAAGCTACCAATGCTATGATAAACTCAGTCTGTCGTTACGATGCAACACATTCTAAAGGCTCAATTCCAAAGTGAAGTCCAAGAAAAGCCAGCTTCTTTCAGTACAAAACTCATCAGCGTCAAAAACTGACATGACTGTAAGCATCGAAGACGTCAAGCGGGATCAGAAACATTCAGATATTCATCTCATATGGTTAAATCAGCACATCTAAATACCTCATAAGGTTTTAATTCAGTCTTTCTTTTACTGAAAGAGCGTCCTGAATTGACTTGCTCTGCTGGAACGTGTTCTGTGTGTTGAGCTTCAAGTCAGTGAGGCTGCCAGTGCCAACATCCGTCAGCATGGATGCATCAGCGACCAGCCATGTAGATGAACAAGATGTCTCTCTTTTAGACGCGTCATGCAGAAGACGCGCCGGGCCGCGTTAGGTTCATGCACGCGTGTAAGTCCAGCTTCCCAGTTGGGAAGTCAAGTAGTAAATCTGGATGTGTCGTATCGTGAGGTTCTCCTCAGCCCAACATCATACTACCATTGCCGTTTCGTCGCCGTCCCCGTTCCCATCAATCCTTTTTTTTTTAAAAAAAAAAAAATCTTATTTTTTTTTTATTATATATCAGTGAATCACGGCGCTCGTCTCCCTTTTTTTCGTTTTTTTTTTCGTCCAGTATGTGGGAAGATGAATGGGCTGCCGACATGGGGAGTGATGCCCCCAAGATCAAATGGGGCTGGAACTTTGTTCCAGACGAGGTCTGGCTTCCTCCCGGTAAGTAATCATACTCATAATATATCTCTTGAGCTTGAATGGATACTGATTTCGAGTTCTCTCACTTAGAAACCCCAAGTTCCCTCACTTGTAAGTTCATCCACGTTCCCGTCGCGAAACACCAGCATCCTGACGCGTAACTTAGCAAAGCGTAAGCGAGAAGAAGAAGAGGAGGAGGAGAAGAAGGAAGAGAAGAAGAAGCTCAAGTCCGTGAAGGACTTCTTCGCGCCTCTGGCGCCAGCTACCTTTGGTGCCGTCCCGGCTGCTGTTGCTGCCGCCGCAACTCCGGTATGCTGAACCTCTTTTGGTCTCCTCAACTCCAACTCCAACTCCATTTTCACCTTCACCTTACCTTTGAGCCCCAACGACTTGATTTCTTGCTGTGGGCAATCTTGTTTGACTCTGCAAGCCCATCTTCCCGTTCTTGTCTGAAGCCAGCTTCCGAATACCCCTTTCCCGACAGTCTTTTCCCCATCAGTCTTCTCACTTCCTACACGCCGAGCCTTGGACATTTTACCAATGTCATGAACGCACCCGCTGTACCACCGAAAGAACCTTTTGAAGTATTCCCAATCTTGTTCTTCAACATCCAGACCCCACGTCTTGGTATCTTCCCTAAGAGTTCCGTCCGGCCGTCAACCCCCTGGCTTCAATTGCCCTACCTCTCTCACATCCCACGCCTGTACATCTGTATACAACAGTCACGAAATCTTGGAGTATTGCGGGCCACTCATGTCAAGTTCTTTGGACAATCTTGTCACACCCCGTCCAATCGATCTACCCCTTTTATGAGTATCCCATCTTGTGGCATGGTCACATATCACTGCCTTACCCTTTTCAGGCCCCAACTCATTACAGTTTACGTTCATCACTAACGTATCATATAGCGTCGTAGAACCTAGGAAGAACGGATTGCGGCCGCTGTCGCGGCCTGCCTCAAGAAACGGGCCACCATGCCCAAGTCCAAGTCCAAGCCCAGGCCCAAGAAGCCCAAGACCAAGAAATAATTTTTGATGATTTTATGAGGAGTTTAGGTTCGGGGTGGAGTTTCTTTTTTCGATGGTGAATCACTGGGCCCCGAGGAGTTATTTCTTTCTTTTTTTCCCTTTTTTTGTTACGAATTTTATGAGGAGTTTATGAACCCTGGGATGGGAAGGAATTGACAATTTTTGACACAAACTTAAACACTTGAACTTTACTTGAACGTGAATTTCTTAATTGGATCTGATAAACTGATACTATAGTAGTTACTTGGTCGGATTCTTGTAGATACTTGACATCATGTCATTGTGACCATTCGATGCAATGTCACCATGGCCAGACAAAAGGCAATTTACGAGAGAAACAAACGGTTTCAAGTAAGAGATATGTGTCAGGTCTTCTGGCTGCTCTCATTCTTGAATGAATTGATTGCTACCGACACTATGAGGAAGAGATTCAGTTTGTCAAAGCACGCACAGGTTCCAGAAGTATTCAAGACTACGGCATTCAACTTATCTGTAGAATGGTTGGGCAAGGTTTTGGCGGTGTGACAATTATCTCGGCGACACCAGAATGTTAGACAACTGGCAAAAATGACAGATGGGGCCCCTTTTCGTGAAGATTGGAATCGCCCGCCAATTTTCAGTCATCCACAGCATCATATCCCATTCTCACGAGGATTGTACCAAAATGTTGGTGTTCTAGGGCAGGCCAATCAGGAGTTGAATGCCATCTCGCTTACCATCTCCCCTCTTAGGACTAGTCTTGCCGTAAGCGGTACTGATTGTCGCTGGAAAATGGAGGAAGAGTCAGGTTGATGCTGGGTAATGTTTGGCAAACTGATTGGCTGTTGGGCTGTGATGATGGGTACATTTGCGCAAAGAATTGGGGTTTGTGGGGATAACGGTGGGTGCTTTGCTTCAATTGATGCGATGCCTCGCTTGACGCGACAAGCTCCGCTTCACGACAACAAGTTGAGTCATCGCGGCTGGCGCGGCCAAATTTAATGACAAACTGGTGAGCATCAGGCGAAGCAAGCCATTGTTCCAGAGGCTGTATGTGTTGTTGTGGCAAAAACAAATTGAATATGGAATATTCACTAAAGAATGCCTCATGCGGTCGTCACCAGAGATGGATGTGATGTGTTCAACACGAATTGACGCGATATCCTAAGTGGCAAGCTGACTCTCCCCTCTGCAGTACTCTGTACCGTAACGATAAATCGGAGATACTAGGAGCGGTTCTGAGCAAAGGTATCAGAGGAAATGAGCCATGATTTCGGGTGGTGTCGATGTGCCAATTGAAGCTATCACAGCATATGGTATTGGGCCACCACATATCTGACGGATTGACTGCTCTATGGACAGAATCCTCCCTTGTTGGATACTCTGGCGTAGGGTAATCACTCAATGTGCAGAACCACCATGAATCCAGTACTTACACCATAAATGAATGAGCACTCATCGCCACCACCAAAAGCTTGTTCCTCATTCATCAAATCTCATTAAATGATCATGAAATACCCTCGCCCTAAGCTCATCCTAAATTAATCATAAAATCGTCATAAACTCATCAAAACTCATCAATGCTTGCAGTCCCCGCTCCTATCACAAACCTGCATCTCTTCTTCTTTATAAGCAAAGTCGCCCGCCTCTCGACGGTTGAGCGCGACATCGTGAGCTACAAGCTCATTTACCTGCTAGATTGTAGTACCGCCTCTCCCGAGACGAAGAAGGAATGTATTTGTGAGCGATGATGACAGGCGCAGCTTCAGTGGGAAACGGCAGATGCAGTACTCATCAAACGCGACTTGACGCGACTTGCTTCATAGTATGGAGACTTTTGCGACTTTGAGTATTTTCCGTGGCATGGACCAAGGCGTGTAATTGATGCGAGCATAATATCATATAAGTCATTGCTTCGGAGGGCTTGTGTGCTGTGATGATACGTCACTGTAAAGTGAAGCTATTCAGAGAGGATACCGCGCGTCAACAAGCGGCCATCTCATCCAGGTTTGAGTAAGACTGCTCAATCCGTCTGCAAATAATCTCATATAAAAATTAAACAATTGCTCGAGTGAATCAGCAGTGCGTGCTGCCTTTTGAGATTGCCATCGCGTTCTCTCATGAGTATGTACTCATCCTTCGGATTGAACCACGTCGCTGCAATCCCCAGCTTCTTATCAACACCAAATACCTCTTAATAAACAATAGATCGACATCAACACATAGCAGATAAATTACAACGAAGCACCACCGTGCCTCTCTTTGTTCACTCGTGCATTACAAATACACTTCCCCCGTCCGGACGCCGACACCATAAGCCGGGCTAATCCTCCCGCTGCACCCCACAAAACCTCACCTCTTCGTCCGCTCTTCGTCCGAATTTCGTCCGTGTACATCATCAACACCCTCTCAGATTCTCACCCATCAAACCCCTTCATATTCACACTCTCTACCATCTCATTCCTCTTCGGCCGAATAATTGACTTACAGCCATGTCCGAACCACCCGCCAAGCGCCGCAAAGTTCGAAAGGGAACACGAAGCTGCTGGGAATGTAAATCTCCCCTCCACTCACACAACGTGAGGTGCTTACATGCCCAGGCCGCCGCCGCAAGATAAAATGCCAGTTCTCAAAGGAAGACGATCCAATCTGCATAGGCTGCACACAGCGCGAGACAAGCTGTATATCGCAGGAATATGTCCCCACGCCGCCCGCCGCGCCCCAAGACAAGCGTCTTGCCCAGCGCCTCGGCCGTTTGGAGGAGCTGATGGAGAAGCTGGTCGACAAGCCGCTGCCGTCGCCTGAATCAGAAGACCCCGCGCTGGAGCGGTTCACGCAGCACACGGCTGATGTGTTTGAGTCGTCGGTCGTGGATAATGCGCAGCAGATCCTGGATCAGCCTGACGCTGCGATCGTGACGCACAGGTTCCCAAGCCGCTCTGCAAAGGCGACGCATGTGTCTGCGCAGCTGCACGCGCTTTTCCCGTCGCAGCAGATTCTGTATGCTATTTCGCAGCAGAGTCCGGGGGCGCGTTTTGTCCTGGCCATGTTTTACTCGCAGCAGGATCAGATTGATGGGAAGCCTGAGCCTATATCGTCGCTGGCGCAGATACCGTCCGTTACAAGCCATCCCGCCATTCTCGCCAAGCGTCTTCTACAACTTGCTGTTTGTCTGCAGCAGATGCCTCCATTCTTCGATGGGAGTACCCTCGGGTTGAGTAAATCGCCCCGCGAGACGATGGAAGAGTGGATTGCTGTTACTGGACGTCTAGTCACGTCAGACGACGACTTTGTCGGGTGCTTAGAAGGTCTCGAGTGTCTCATCTTACAGAGCTTCTACCAAAGCGATGCAGGCCATTTGCGAAAAGCGTGGTTGACGGGTCGCCGCGCTCTGAACATGGCGCAGCTCATGGGCATTGATCGCAAGAGTGCCAAGTCAATCAAATCCGTAGACCCATCATTCAGCAACAAGCATCGCCCTTCTCCACCAGTCATTTGGTTCCGCATCAACTGCAACGATCGCTACGTCTCTCTCATTCTCGGGCTGCCTATCGGCTCGCGCGATAATAGCTTCGCAGAAGACAATGCTCTCGTGTCGGATGCACCGAGCGACAAGCTTGGCAAAGTGTATGCGATGATGGCGGGTAAGATCGCGGATAGGAATGAGCTCAAGGGAAGCGAGGCATATGTCCTCACGCAGTCCATTGACATGGAGCTTGAAAAGGCGTACAAGATGATGGATGATGGTCTGTGGTGGAAATTACCCGACATGGCCATATGCTGTGGTACATCCGACGCGTCAGGCGACGGAATGAGCGTGATAAAGCTTCAAATTCGGCACTTCTCGCTTCTCATTCTTCTCCATCTTCCCTATCTTCTTCGCGATCGCGGCCAACGACGATACGAGTACAACCGCGCAACATGCATGCAAGCAAGTCGCGACGTGCTCGATCGATTCCTCGAGTACCGCAATTGCTTTACTACATCTGTATCAGGCCGTCACGTCGATTACTCCGCCCTTGTAGCGGCCATGACACTCCTGCTGGGATACCTCGGGTGGCGCTGGCCAGGCTACGAGACAGAAAAAGAGCACGACAGAGACCTTGCCGAAAGGACACAAGAACGGATGCAAGAAATGGGAGCGCTAAATAATGACCGGCTCTGCATTGAAGCGGCGGAAACAATCCGGCAGCTTCTGCCCATCGTGCAGAGACAATCAGGCACGAGCGGAGAAAATGTCCATCTCAACGTCCCGTTCCTGGGTACGGTGAACATCAACCCCGGCCCAACGCCGCCCGCCTCCACAGCGAGCATGATAGCGTCCAACAGCACCACGCCCAGTGGCAACGTCGACATGTCACAGTTCCCGCTGTCATTCAACTCGCCAAGCTTTGGCTCCGAAAACTGCGACCTATCCACAACGTGCGCCTTCGCGCCTGATGTGTTGGACTCCAACTGGCCCTGCTTCACGGCCGACCCTGAGGATTGGGCACTGCAAGGTGTAGACACTACGTACTGGACTATGCTCAACAGCAGTATAGCATGAGGATAAAGATATGTATGATTATGATATTTATACCCAAGATGAACCAATAAAACACCAAGCGAATGCATACCAACGTGTAAAACAAAGGGACTAGGCTTGTCTAGCCAGGGTATCTCCATCAGGTAACCTCCTCACAAACGCCACAAATGAGATCAACTCCAGTATCTAGGTGAATGTATGTTTGAGCGCATAGGTAGTATTCAGTCCTGTAAGCCTTCTACCAGGGCCTCACGGTCAACATCAACAGTGGTGACCTGAGCGGGCGCGCCCTTTCGTTTCTGAGCAGCCCAGTATTGATGAAAGCCAGGAATCGACCCGGGTTGGTTGATACCCGGAGTCCGGTTAATATTCCTGTCCCTTTCCTTCTCCGCAGGTTTTGGGGGGCCATTTTCACTATTGCCTGAAGCCCAAGGCCTCCAGCCAACCCATTTTCCTATTCCTCCTGCGGGGCTTCCTTGGGGGGTATCCGAAGGAGCTGGAGACGCAGATCTGTTTGACCCAGGCCTGTTAAGTGGGTTGGACACAGTTCTACTAGTGGGAAGACCAGCGAAAGTGTCTCGGAGGGCAGCGGTGCTTCGCTTAGCTGCACCTCTGTAAAGTGTGGGCTGCGCTGTGACGCCCGTAACGACAGCTTCAGCACCACCAAGTGGTCGAAGGGTGAGCTGACTAGGTCGAGCCTTGAGCGTGTGAATGTCAAGGCCGCCTGTAAGAGACATGATGGATTCATGAGAGATAGCTCGATGAATCCTCGGACGCGGCATGTAGTCGTCTCTATTGTCCTCAGAGCTCTCAACGATTGAGCTCTCGTCAATTGACGGGGTGTTGCCGAGATCGGGTGTCTCAGTTCGAGACATGACCTCCTCGCCCTCATCTTCGTCCTCCTCATGTATCACATCATCGTTGAACTGACGCGAATTTTGAGGTGGCGTGCCTGGATCAAGCTGGAGGGAAGGTGCTTGAAGGCTGAAAGCCGAAATGTCAGACGGGCCTTTACGGTGTGTCCGCCAGGTGGGCGACATGGGGTCAAAGCTCGTAGCTGGTGACATTGGATAATCGCTGTCGCCAAAATTCGAGTCAAACATCGAGTTGCGTAGATTCGATCGTGGTGAACTTGGAACGGACGACGCGATTTCAGAGGGTTGCTCTGAGAGCATGGACCACCTCTGTTTGGGCATCGATATAACAGAGTTGGGTTCTTTGGTGCTGATGGAAGCGAGGGCGGGCAGGGCAGGTCCCAAACTCCAGCGAGCAGAAGATTTCGGGGTGGATGTGCCAGAACTTGTCGATGCCGAAAAGATACTAGAGTTCAAGCTCGCACGCTTCCGCCTCATTTTTTGTTTATCGGCCTTGGCTGTAACGTGATAATGGTGGTGGATGTGAAGCTCTTGCGAAATTCGAGGAGTCGTCGGCGGCTCATAAGCCTCGAGTTCGTCTTTGAGAGTCGTACTGCTATCGGTGATGGGCTGGTGGGTGACAAGTTGTTCTCGCAGAGACTGAATCTCGTCGTTCGAATTGAGAAGCATCTCTCGCAACTCAGCCATGCCAAGTTGTAGATTGGCATTGTCTTGAAGAAGATCCCGAACAAAATGATTGACGACGGGATTCCCTGGCTTCGGTTCTTGCAGTGTTTTTGATGCAGCTGCACCTTTTAGACGACCGGCGGCTGTATTGAGCTGTTTCTCAACTTGTCGTTGACGTTCCATTCGCCCAATAACCTCGGCATGTCTTTGCCGCTCCTCTCGAGCTTCCTCTTCCATCCTCTCCAGCTGATCCTGCATGTCCATGATACCGCGTTGCGCCTCCTTGCAACGCTGTGCATGTGTTCGAGCATCTTCTTTCGTAGACCTCAATTCGTGATAAAGATCATCCTGTTCCAATTCCAAGAGGGAAATATGCCTCTCAGCATCTTCGGCTCGCAGGGCAGCAGACTCGAGTCTTCGGACGGCTTGTTGAGACGACAGCAGACTTGCTTCGAGCGCTTTGATCTTTGTATCGGATTCGGAGACGGTGTTGTTGAGCAGTTCAAGCTGGTCGAGGAGGTTACGATTTTCCTCAATTTTCAGGGCATTCTCAGCCTCTAATTCCTGCTTGGCCATTTCCAGACGCTCTATCCTGGAGGAAAGATCAAGACGATCTCTCTCCGCGTCGGCCATATATGCTTCATGTCTGGCGAGTAGAGCCTACAAGGGAGACAGACAAGTCAGCAGTCTGATGGGGCATTGACGTGTCTAGCGGGGACTGGCATGCGGGACACGCGGGTGTTTAGGCGGTGGAAGAAGTGGCAGGCGTATAAAAACAGAGGAATGCCCCAAGATTGAGGATTGGTACCTGACTAACCTGACCAAGTTGTGCCGCGGTATGGACATCTTTTTCGACTGTCTCTAGAATGGAGCAATTTTTCTTGAGGAGAGCGCAGTCGATTCGCCCACAGCAGCAAGTCATCTCAGAGATATGCGGCTCCGGCCCAAAATCCGGCCTCTCCATGATGGGCGGAGCGAAATCGGAGATGGAGAGGCCTTTTGAAGATTTGATTATTGTACAGATAATAGGATAACGAGTTGGCGAAGGGTAACGAGGGCGGCGGAAGATAAGGGATCGGTCGGCAACATGATAATACTGTAGATCGGAGGGGATGAGGAATGATCGAAGGGCGAGATTAGAACATGGTCCGTCGGCAGCGGATATTAAACTCGTGACAAGCCGGAGTCCAGGCGAGGCAAGAAGATGATGGTCGTCTCGTCGGGTTCGAGTCGTTTTGATGGGAACGGCTGGTGTTTACTGTTGAGCCAAACAAAGAGGGTCTTTGTTGTGTATAATTGGCTGAGGTTGTAATTGGTATGTGGGCTCCCGCGCGAGTCTAAGTTGGGTAGGAGTGGAGTTTTGTTCCTGACTTAGCGAGATCGCCGACAGTTGAAGTTTTGGAGTAAACAAAGAGAGTGAAGCAGATAAATATGGACAGACTACAGTGACGACGTGTTTGTATTCGTAGGTGTTGCATTGAGAGAATAAACAAGGCAGATGAGGCCTCAAAAGAGACCAACCTCAGCCACTTGCACAAGCCATGTGATGCAGAGACGGCCAGGGTAATAGGCTGCGAACAGTTCGTACAGGGGATCTCTTTAGGCACTCATCAGGGACGGAGACTCTGGACTTGGTTAGCGCGATAGAGTTGCAGGGAAGACGTGTTGAACGCTCGCGATTCCCTCATTTCCTTTTCGCGTGTGATTGGATGTGGAATTCAAGGCTGTCACACCTCGCTGAATCCGCCATGACGCAGAGTTAGCGCTCAGAGATAAGACGATAAGGCACGTGATGAGTGAACTGACATGGTCCAGGGTAGTCTATCTGATTTGACGAACTCTAAATGCCCTCTAAGCAATCATTACCCTATCATTTTTCGCTTTCATGCTTTTACACCGCCTGCATTCGTTCAATGCCTCGTAAGCCGGCAGTTAATAGTGGCATCATGCTCTATGCGGGGCATTGCTTACGGATACAAATGCAAATCGGAAACGGCTGGATTGTGGTGCAGCCTTAACAAGAGAACGGCTTACAACGTCGGCATGTCGTCATACACAACGTCGCCCGTAAAGCTTCGACCAGTCACATCACTCCCATTGTCATCCCCCACATCATCGTGGGCATGGATGATACGGAGCCTCCGGTGGTGATGCTTGCGTTTTGTTAGGGAGGGACCTTTGCGTGCACTTGCACTTCTCTGCAGCTGCCGTCGAATTGATGGCGCCATGTCCACGTTTCTTCGTTTCCCCCAATTTCGGTCTCCCACTGCTACCTGCCATACCATCCCACAGCTCTCTGTCTCTCTCTCTCTCCCTCTTCTTTAATAAGACGTCTTGATGCGTCCACATCCTAGATTACTTCAAAGCTTTCGCTCAGCTCGGATACAAACACCTCGATTATTTCTAGCAAGGCCTTTCTCCACATACAGACCAATGGCGCAAGAGTACAAGCTCAAGGGCGTTTCATCGCTCGACCTCTCCGCAGGCTCCAAGCAGGAGGTTGAAGTTGAGGGTATTGAGAACGGCAAGGTTCTACTCGTCAACACTGGGGGAAAGACTCAAGCTCTAGGTTCCAAGTGCACTCATTATGGTGCACCTCTCGCAAAAGGTGTATTGACTAGCGATGGCCGCATCACATGCCCATGGCACGGAGGTATGTCCGAATGCAGTCACCCATTTATGCTTGTACTAATTGATCGTAGCTTGCTTCAACGCAAAGACTGGCGATATTGAAGATGCACCCGCCCTCGATCATCTTCCCGTCTTCCAAGTCGCCGAACGTGACGGCGCAGTATACCTCACCGGAGAGGAGAGCGCAATCAAGTCATCCAAGCGACAGCCCAATGTCAAGTGCGCCGAATTTGGAAGTGTCCAGGATGACCATGTCGTTGTCGTCGGTGGTGGTTCGGGAACACTGGGTGTCGTCGAGAGCCTCCGCGAGAATGGATACAAGGGTGGCATCACCGTCATCTCCAACGAGGGCTACTACCCCATCGACCGAACAAAGCTGAGCAAGGCTCTCATGACCGACCTCAGCAAACTGCAATGGCGAAACAAGGATTTCTACGAAGGTGGCTCTATCAAGTTTGTCCAAGGCGAGGTCAACAATGTTGACTTTTCGGGTCACTTCGTTACTACCAGCGAAGGCGAGAAGATTGACTACACCAAGTTGGTCCTTGCTACTGGTGGCACTCCCAGACGACTTCCGCTCGAGGGATTCAAGACCCTCGACAACATCTTTACTCTCCGAAGTGTTCACGACACAAAAAAGATTGTCGACCAGATTGGCGAGAAGGGCAAGAAGATTGTTGTGGTCGGATCTTCATTCATCGGAATTGAATTGGCGGTCGCGACAGCCGGCGATAACGATGTGACCGTCATTGGTATGGAGAATGTTCCTCTTGAGCGCGTCCTCGGCGAAAAGGTTGGTTCGGGCCTCCAGAAGGCGCTTGAAGGTAAAGGTGTCAAGTTTTACATGGGAGCAAGTGTCGACAAGGCTGAGCCCTCTACATCTGACGCTTCCAAGGTTGGCTCAGTATCCCTCAAGGATGGTACCAAGCTGGAGGCGGACCTCGTCGTTCTTGGCGTCGGTGTCGCACCTGCTACTCAGTTCCTCAAGAACAACAGCGGCATCAAACTGGAGGATGATGGTTCTATCAAGACAAACGACGACTACTCTGTTCAAGGTCTGAAGGATGTTTATGCCATCGGCGACATTGCTACTTTCCCGTACCACGGCCCCGGAGGTGAAGGTAAGCACGTGCGAATTGAGCACTGGAACGTTGCTCAAAAGGCGGGCCGCATCGCTGCGAACCACATTGTCAACCCAGGCGGCAAGACTGAGCACTTTATTCCCATTTTCTGGTCTGCCCTGGGAGCTCAACTACGCTACTGCGGCAACACCATGGCCTCTGGCTGGGACGATCTTGTCCTGGACGGTAGTCCGGCCGAGAATAAGTTTGTGGCCTACTACTGCAAGGGCGAAACGGTCGTTGCCATGGCCAGCATGGGAAGGGATCCAGCTATGGCGCAGAGTGCAGAATTAATGCGGGTTAACAAGATGCCCACCAAGACGGAGCTCCAAGAGGGGATTAGTGTAGTGTAAAGCTTGGCGCGGGAGCGATGCGACGGGTCGAACTATGATGAGGCTATGAGCTAAGATCGAGATGACAGGCACAAAATAGGAAATTGTTTCATCGGCATGAAGCTTAGTTGAGCAGATAATTCCGAGCGTCCACTTACATGTCGCGGTGGAAGATAATCCCCGGGTTCGAGAAGTCAATGACGTACAGAGCAGGGATCGTCATGATGGCATCAACTCCACAACAACACACAGTCATGGTGACGATACTACGTATGACGGGTAGAAGATTGTTATATGAAGTCATGATAGATGAATAAATGTTGATAAATACCGCCTTTCGTCGTGCCATCAAGGTTGTTCCAGTCAACAGTACATCACATCAGAACTCTTAAAATGACTACTCAAGCAGCTTACCAGGCCGAAAAGGTCATTGGACACGGCGACAATGCCGTCACAGCACAAGATGTCACTTCATACCGTGAGCCAGGCGCCGGCGAGTCCGGCGAGACTATGAAGGCTCTCGCATGGATTAGCAAGAACAAAGTCCAGATGGGTATGTCAACTCCATTGCACTTACACAATCACCACTAACACAAACAGTCGACGCCCCCAAGCCCAAGATCATTGAGGACCGCGATGTGATCCTCAAAGTAACAGGCAGCACCGTCTGCGGCTCAGACCTGCATCTCCTGCACGGCACAGTCGTGCAGCTCAGCGAGGGCGACATTCTCGGGCATGAGTTCTGCGGCGTGGTCGACCAGGTCGGTTCAGCCGTCAAGGGGATTGACGTTGGAAAGCGCTACGTCGCATCGTTCCAGATCGCGTGTGGCGATTGCTTCTTTTGCAAGCAGAAGCTCTCGTCGCAGTGTGAGAAGACTAACTCGAATACTACTGAGAGGGCCATGTATGGTGGTCGCACGGCGGGTATGTTTGGGTATTCGCATTTCACGGGTGGCTTTGCGGGCGGGCAGGCGGAGTATGTGCGTGTTCCGCTGGGGGATGTGAATCTTTTGGAGATTCCCGATGATGTTCCCGATGAGAAGGGTGAGTACTTGTCTCTGTTGAGCGAGCTATGCTAACACATCTAGCGTTGTACTTGTCTGATGTACTGGCTACATCCTACAACGCTGTCAAGGACACAGCCGTTTATCCCAAGGACTCGGTCGCCATTTTCGGCGCCGGGCCAATCGGTCAAATGGCCGGTGTCTTTGCCATCAAAGAGGGCGCAAGCCAGATCATCTTTGTCGACACTGAACCACGACTGTCGTTCATTCGAGACCACTGGCCCGCTGAGCACAAGGACAAGCTTGAGCTGGTGGATTACAAGCACTTGTCGCACGGCGTAACTAACAAGCCTACTGTCGTCAGCCGTCTCAAGGAACTCACTGGCAACCGCGGACCTGATTGTGCGATCGAGTGCGCGGCCGGTGAGTATGCCAAGGGCTGGATGCACTGGCTTGAGATGGCTGTTGGGATTGAGACGGACACGAGTGAGATTATCAATGAGATGATTGAGGGTGTGCGAAACTATGGACGATGCGGCGTTACTGGTGTTTACGTCGGCTACGTGAGTCTTCCCAATCACTCTCACTGCACGCGACTAACATGGACTAGACCAACCACTTCAACATCGGCTCCCTCATGGAGCGAGGCATTCGCCTCATCGGCAACGGCCAAGCGCCCGTTCACAAATACTGGCATGAGCTTCTCGAGATGATTCAAAAGGGCGAGCTTGATCCCGCTCAGATGCTGTCGCACCGTGTCAGACTCGAGGATCTGGATAAGGTGTACTACAAGTTTGAGAAGCGGGAGGATGGGATGCAGAAGATCTTTGTGGAGACCAAGTTCTCGTTCCCTCAGGACCCTAGCACGCCTAGTCTTACGACTTATTGATGAGATGGACGGATGAAGATAGTGATGAGTTATGAATTGAGTAAATGAATGAGAATGTTACTTTTGGTCAAATTGCCGTGGTGTTTTGTTTTGTCGCGTGGGGAGACGTCACGCACGGACTCATCTGTGGTGATAAGATAAGACGGTCGGAAGAATGTTTTCCTTAATAGTAGGGTCACCTGGTATAAATTAAAGGTTACAAGGTGCTTATTACACTGAATCCCATGTAGGTACGTACGTACCTGTACTCCGTATGTTCCCCGGTTTTCTCATTGGGTTATCTAATCTTATCTGATCATCAGACATCAGCCGCATCTCCATCTCCATCACCTGATTCTCACATCAACAACGTAACCATGACTCTTGTCCCAGTCCCTCTCGAAAGCGCCAGCGCGCATAACTCATGCCAATTCTTATTCCCCACCCGACGAGGCGATTATCTCATTCAAGTATCCTGGCCTCTTTGTTGGAATCATCGCGCACCAGTAAATGATGATACTGTCGTCTCCACTGTGTAAGAAAAGCCTCACCGAGAATACAAACCAGGGATTAATGTGGATTAGGTATGTTGTCGATGGAAATGCGTACTTTTTTACCGCGACGGATATCGCAAGGAGATTGGAGTTTACGCATCAGACGAGAACTGTAATCGTGGCTGTTGGGTATCCTAACAAGACTGGTGTTTTTGACAAGCGGAGGAATGGAGACTTGACGCCGGAGTCTTCGGATGGAGTTTATGATATCCCCCCTGGACCAGATGGGAAACCATCGCTTGGTCCTTTTGGCGGCGCGTCGGACTTTCTGGATATCATCAAGAATGATATCCAGCCGTATATCGAAAACACGCTCTTCCCGAATGTACCTCTCGGATCAGGTCCCAAAGCGCTCTTTGGCCATTCCTACGGCGGCCTCTTCACCCTCAATGCTCTGTTCACCAAGCCAGAGTCTTTCGATACATTCATCGCAGCGAGTCCGTCTATCTGGTTCAACAATTGCAGTATTGTTCGCGACCAGGAACAGCGCTTCAATGAGCGAGAGCCTCTAACTGGACGCGCGCCAAGATTGCTGGTCATGTTTGGTGGAGCGGAGCAGACGTTGATTCAATTGCCTGGCGAGTCGGATGAGAAGTTTGAGAAGAAACAAAAGGGCGCGACGCAGCGAAAGATGAGGGACAATGCTCTAGCGTTGATGGCGAGGATGAAAGAGTCGCGTCATCTGAGAAATGTTTGGTGCTGGGAGTTTGAGGGTGAGGATCATGGTTGCGCGGCACCGTGTGCGCTGCAGAGAGGGCTGTTGAGGTTTCTCATGGATCAACGTGCAGGGCAGTAAGTTCAGAGCATGTTTATTCTATCTACATCAAACATCAAGTGGTACTAAAACATTGCAAGTAGCTAGCAGAATTGAAAACGCAATCATGTCTATCGAGGTGTCTGCACGGCGTGTCACTTCGTCCCTCTCTTCTTTGACGCTTTTCTTGGCGCTCTTCTTTGAGGCGCCTTTGTCTTGGTGACGCGCACGCGCCCGGCGGCACACTTCTTTGTTGTCTTCTGGACAGCCTGCCAGTTGAACTTGGCGGGATCGAAGGGCGGGCGATGCACCATGGGTTGGGGCTTGCTGTCGTAGATGAGCATGGGCAGGAAGGGGCCGTACATCTGAGGTCTGGGCCGGAGGTGATCGTAAACGTCGTCCTTTCTCCATGCGACTTGATTGTGTTTTCGCATACGCGGCACCGTATCGTCGGCCTTTTGATCGAAGAAATCGAGCATGTCCTGAAAGCATTTGAGGTCCCACGCCGCCATGCTCTCAAAGCTCCAACGGGGCCGGAGGCCGCTCTCTGGACCAAAGATGTGCGGGATGGTCCAGGCGAAGCTGAAGTCTGCCAGCTTCCCGTCTAGGTACTGCTGCACCTTGAGATCTCGTACCACGATGCCTGACTTGTGCAGCTCGTGGAGATTTCGGAGGAGTCGGGGCAGGGAGCGCATCTGTTTCTGGGTCAACACAAATGGCATCGACTGGTCTCTGCGAACAGGTATCCATTCTTTGACAATGGCCATCAGCGGTATTTTGAGGTCATAGTGTTGAAAGAGGGTTCGGATCGTGTCTGCAGTGGTGAAATCTTTCTTTCCCTGCGAGAAAAGAGATGGGAGCTCGTTTTCTTCCAGAAAAGGGAGGAATTTCTGCTGCACCCTTTCATCATCGAGATTAAACTCGAGGTAGCCATAGGCTTTGATGGCAAGATGCTCGCGATCTAGCTCCTTCAGTCTCCCAAAGACACGGCATTCGTTGTAGAAGGAGGTCGCGTGGAGCCGGAGGCTATCGATGGTCGACTGGGATAGTTCATCATTTGGCACAAGAGGCTCGGGGTCGTCTTCGCTTTCGGGCATCTTGTCCAAGGCTGTCATGGCAAACCATGGCTCCGTTGCCCCCCAATGGGAGAACTAAATCATGGTTAGACGGCAAAGAAAGTTCGCGGGGGCATTGATCGAATGAAGCACTTACTACCTTGATGGCATAGACTTCCCCATGAATCTCGGCCTTCAAGACTTGTGAATGACATCCACCGCCTGAAATCCCGAGTATCTTAAAGTCGTCGGTAGTGATATCATCGAGGAAGCACTCAAGCTTAGGGCCATCACAGTCCGGGAGCGGCTTTGGACGTGGCATTTTGCAGCGGTGTGTGTAGTTCCAGAGAATTGAGCAAGTGATTGCAGGTATTTGTTCGAATGAATTGACTCGAGTAGAAGAGACGGGGGTCGTTTTATATGCTTCGATTTGTGTGCTGAAACATTGAGCGTGAGTGACCGTGCATCAATTGTTGAGGAAGGAGAGTCTGCGAACCTTGCGGCAATAGACAAAGAAGACAAGTCCCAGGAAGAGTGCAGCAATTCTCAAAGGCGAGAGACTGGGGGCTGTTCCGTGACTGTCAAAGGGGAGAGTGTGCGAAACGTACGGTAATAGACAAAGAAGAACAGTCCAGGAATGGCTCAGCAATTCTCAAAGGGGAGAGCTTGCGGACTGGAGACAATGTTGTGACTGTAAAAGGGAACTGAAAGAGGAACATGCAAGAAATAGCATCGCTGTTCACACAAAGGGAAAGTCTGCCAGCAGTCCTGTAGTGCTGTTGATGAAGAGGGAGAGCTTGGGAACAGCACCGCCACAGCCAAACGGTAGACTCTGGGGACAGAACAGCACCGCGATGGATGAAAGAGGAGAGCCCAGGAACCGAACGAGCAGGAATTCCCCGAGAGGGCGGAGGACGAGTCTGCCCTGCCAGCCGCGCGGTAACTCTGGAAAAGGGGATGGTGACGACACGGTCATGAGACCGATACCCAAGAAGAAGTGAAATATGACAGAGTCCCGCCATGATTGCGTGCCCGCGCAAAATGAGATGCGAGGAGGTGAGAAAAATTGGCGGGATGGCCAGTTGGCTGGGGTCTGGCGGACATTGCCCTCTCCGGTCTGTCTGCGCTTTGTTCAACTACTGTGTTTTACTTTCTATTCGTATTAAGGGTAGGAAGACTGTTCAGCTTGATATTCATTCAAACAAGTAAGTCGAAAGGTGGTGGTCCGTTTCGGTTTGACGCGGAGCTCTGCATATCTTGCTCGTTTCTTCGCCCATCTTTGTGTTTGTCCCTTCCGGGGTCTTGCTATTGCTTGAGTGTGTCGATGACAGCATCATGTCCCTTGAGTCTCCGCACGTTATCCATTTCTTGCTCACCGATTGCATTGCCACCCCTTCTTGATTGGCCATTCAGCCAGAACGGGCTGTTGTGCTACCACATAACACTGGGCGTCCAGGTAGGCTATGGCCGGCCACTAATCAGGGTCTCCGTAGCAGCGGGCAACTGGGAGGGATAGCTGTTTGCAAATTACCGTGAATAAGCCACGGTTTCCGCGATCATTAGCCAATTCGCGTCCGCTATTGCTGGTCACAGGCTTTAGTTTACGACAGAACTGACCTTGGAGCCGATCATCTATCCCCTTGCAGAGCGAGGAACCAGTAGGTGGTTTCCAACGAATGACCAGCTTGTAAAACGTCACTGGTGCACAATTTCATAATTATATTGGCGTTGTCTTGTTTCAGGCACTGGTGAATTCGTTTGGCAATTACTCACGGGACAGGGAGACGGATAGATCATGTCTGCTGGCTTCTGGCCCAATTTTGATCTCCTGGGTCTCGGCTTATGAGGCTGAAAGTACCGTTCTTCATCGTGTACTATCAAATATACCTTGTTTTGGGTTGGTGCCCCACTTCAGCCTATATACATCTGCTATTGCGACTTCTGTTCGGCATAATCCATGCTCAGCACAAACCATCTGCTTCCGCGCCACGTTGAGAACGGGAAGTCCATCATATTGCTCAACGGGGAGCCTTGCAGCCAGCCATCAGTGCCCAATATCGCGGGAAAATTGGCACTAGGCTGCGCAAGAGCCATGCACTACGTTCGCTGGTAGAAGGGGTCCCGGCGCTTGATATCGTCAGCAGTTAAGGTAGTTGACATAAGCTTGACCTAGAACCATGTACTGCGCTTGGCAGTATGGGAGAGTCTTGCGGGTAGCCGCCGGTGCTTTGAATCATAAGCACATTAACGTTGACTTGTCCAACAACCAGGGACTGCATTTAACATCATGGCAGAGCCATGCAGCAAACTGTTCGCCAGGGAGGCCTTTCGCAAAGCCACTGGTCCCCAATGCCATGGCCATATCGCCGTTTGATAATAGGGAGTAGCCTTGCCGTTAACGGCCATTATCTCGTTCCGTGCAGGGTTTCATAAGGTACCTAGTTAGATTGACTTTAGCTTGCTGATGGGGCCAGAGACTGCGTTTGTTGGCTGGCTACACGTCATGCAACGTCTTTCAAAAGTTCATCGATGTTTCTTTTTTGTCAGAATGGCAACTTTAGCTTGCGCACGAACCCATAACCTGCGATCAAGCGATATGGAGGACTTTTACAACTTGCCGCGTGTCCCGGTCGCCGTGACGCACCAATCGTACAGCTCGGCATCCGCCAAGCGAGACATTCAGGAAGCCAGAGATACTAGTTATCATGAGTATATTGACATTAGCTTGTGCAAGAGCCATTCGCTACGTTCGACAATAGGTAGTAGTCCTGTAACTAGCCTGCTTGGCGACGATTGAACAGGGATTGATCTTCTGGACCGCCGTCGCTGCTCTTAGGTTATGCGAGGCTGGCTGTCATGATAGATCAGATTCGCTGCTTTTAGGGTTCTCTCCTGTTTATAAGCTGAACCAGAAACCCAAGCTGGAAAGGGATATATTCCAGAACCTTTCCAAATTACCTCGTTTTTCTCAACTCAAGCTGAAGATTTTGAGCCTCCCTCCTTGATACTTACCGACAAGTGCTTGCCGCACCCCAAACACCTTGCCAATACTATCTACTGCCTTTCCATCCCTCACGTTGTATTTGCAATGACAATTCCGCCCTTTACGGTACCCCAGACTTGGGCGACCCGATCTGTCATGGATACATTGGCGGATCACAATCCGACACTGAACGTCACTGCCAATCCAGCACATATTGTGCCGACCAATGCCGCTGATCTGGCCGTTACCCAGATCGTGCGATGGCAGACTTTCAACCTGGATTGTCTTCGTCAAGCTTACGGCGATATTCTCGACGATTACCCCGTCCCAACTGTCGTTAGTCACCTTGGCCCTCACATGGTCAACGGACTAAATCAATTCAAACAAGTAGTCATAGACTACCTTTTCCCTCGCCTTACCCACCCTCTCCAAACCGGCGCAACCGTGCTCGGGGCCCGCCTCGGAGCTGGGCTACCTAATGTGTCCCTCAAGAAGGATACAATTGTGGACTGGCCTCGTCGCTCTGGGCTATCTCTCATCTCCGATGACGGAACCCATTTTCTCGTCGGTTGTGTTTTGATGGGGTCTCAGTGGGATTCTGCATGGCTCGAAAGATCATACGTCCTGGGAGATGTGAGCCAACCGCTCCGGCGTGTAGCCGCCTATTGCTTGGCTACAGACACCCGCTACGGGTTTGTTCTGACCCCCAAGGAGGTCGTTGTTGTCCGGGTGAGCGGTACAGCCTATGACGCCCGTCAGCCTTGCCGCATCGAGTGGCAGGCAGTCCCTTGGGATGCATCAGGGCCGGACACCCTCACGGTCAATCTATCTTTGTGGTTCATCTCTATGATGAGTCTCAACCCGAACCATCACGGGCTGTGCCCCCCCGGAGCGGCACCGAGTCTTAACCTCTGGTTGAGATACCAAGATCCGGCGGGCTCAATTGCCTATAAGCATCACCTGTCTTTACGACAGGCGTTTTGCCTTCCTACTGGCGCCGAAGCTGAGGGCGCCCATTAAATATACTCACCATCACCTTCGTCATGATTACGGTACATTGAGCGACTCATGAGCCCCCTTTGCGCCTCCTAACCCCTCACGCCTCGCTGTCGCTGTGATAGGAAAGGACGAGTTGTTTGGTTATTGGTCTTTGGAGCTTCTTCTTTCCTTTCCTTTCCTTTCCATTCCTTTTGTCTTTCCTTTTATGTTGAGGTAATCGTCGCGGTGTGTGCTTCACAGTCTCAACCTGGAATCCTTGTTGTTTTTCTTATGTTTTTCTCTTGGTTTTACTGCGCAGATATTATCCAGCATCTCAACGATGCAATTTGACTGGGTGCAAGACTCCCCCACATCAACTCTTAGCGTCGAATCATTTCACCAGACAAGTTGGTGCCTGTTGTCAACACTCGGACTATTCTAGACGGATGATTTCCCAGCTATGTTCAGTAAAGATATCATCAGAAAATGAGCTAGCGTATAAAGGAATGTAACTAAATGGCTCTGAATTGATGTTCTCTAACTATTGCAAAAACCTTTTACTGAAAACGAGGACGAATGCTTTTACGACGGTCCTCATGTCAGCAGGTGTCGTCTCTACAAAAAGATTTCTCATGATATGGCAGAAAGGGCCCAATAATCCGACAAGAAAGTAGACAATCAGGGCGACTCGATGAGTTGCAGTGAAGAGAAAAGCCAACACGTTGTAGCGAAATATGGGTAACTCTAATGTGAAAAACACTGATCTGTCCCAGGATGAGGGACAGATATCTAGCTACAGGGAGGCCTCTCAGTCTTGGATTGTGTTCCGGAACCTCCCCCTGACGATGTGTTATTTGCAGCTGAGACTTGTGGCTGAGATCTTAAATCAGCAGAGAGAGCTTAGTCTACCGGCCTCTGAACGCGCCAGGTACGTCAACACCCCGTCGAATGTCCTCGCCGCCATCGACGTAGTAATGTTTGGCCGATCGTAATCAGTGTATGTATTGTCCGGGATAAAGCCTTTCTGTCCTTACCTGGAGATCCGAGCATTCGCTGTTCATATATGCATCCCAGGGAGCGAGCTCGTGTCCAGCCAGCTGCCTCGAGCTTTTGGGCAGAGTTCTTTGAATAATCTTTCGATCGAAGGATGTGGTCTCGCGATCCCATCATCTAGCACGGAGCCAATCACCAGTTTCTTCTCCGAGTAGCGTTGGAATTTGTCTTCTTTTCAGAGCGCAGGGACAAACTGGGGGTCCAGTGTCTAACACTCAGCCTTGATCACTGCTTTAGAGACCAGAGTCAGTGTGTTGAGTGTTCTTGTCATGGGACCAATAGAGGAAGGTATCTGGTGCTGCCCTTCCTGGGAGATAGGGACATCTTCGTATGAAAAGCTGCCGCTCTGCGATAGTGTAAGCAATCACACATGAAGACAGAAAGGAATAAAATACGCTCGGTTCGAACCGCCACAAGCCATTCATGTTTGCTGGCTCATGGATAGAGCCGCCAATGCTTGCCACAAGAGTTGGGGGTCTTACTTGGCGATGTGAGCGAGGACAATGGCTTCTGCTGTAACTTGTCGGGCTTCCACTAGCTTGGCCAAGTCTGGGATATCTTTTGCGGCAAGAATGCGAGGTCGGCTGGTGCCTCTCCGCCACGAGACTTTGCTCGTTTTCTCATTGCATATCGCCCGCTTCCCTCTCCGCGACAACTAGAATGCCGAATGATACAAAATAGATCCAAGAATCGCTTCTCGTGCTCCTCTCTACCCAGTGCTCGGTGCTATATTCTGGAGGCCGACGGATCTGCTTCCAGGCTCAGCCGATCAGAGCTATGGAACGAGAGATGCCGCGTACGTTGGCTATTATTATCTCAGAGGTCCAAGAAGGACGATCTGGAAGTCAAGCAATTTGTGTCTTCCAGGAAAGGATCAAGCTTTTGATACCATTGTCCAACTCGCACATCACTCCAGCTCGTTCGTCGCTTTAACCTCGTGATTGGCGTCGATCATAGGAGTCAGTTGCCACTGAAACGATACGTGATATTGTCTCCTTTTCTTTTTAGGACAGATGTTTGCTAACACGGTTGATTGAGTGAAAACAGGATGATGCGACAAGTTACACCCTGACTCCGCTCAACGATCCCACCGCAGGTTGACCTGAAAGCCTGGTCCACCAAGCACCTCAAGCCTTCGGAGAAGGTTTGGCAAGAGTGGCCAAACAACGTCAAGGCCAAGTTTGCTGCTGTCGGCTATTGGTGAGACCGCCCTCCCTTAACATCTCCATCTACCCAATATCGCAGAACGAAGCGTAAATTTCATTCCTCGCGGTTTGCCTATACTATCACGAGGAACCAGAACTATCAGCGCAACCGAACACATGGGCGATCATGCCAGTTTCGAAGGCGCATTTGATATCAACAAGGGAAGAATAACTGGAGACACAGGAATTCAATCCACGACCTTATGCGACAAAAGTGATTTGAGAAGGTAACCGAAGACTGACGGTCATGTAGCAACCTAAGAGGATGATCAGGACATGGATATCGAGACTTCCGAGCGAGAGTGTCAGTCTTATGGCCCTTCACCACCTTGAACTACTGTAAGTCATGCAGCCTGCGCCCTTGGCCCTGTATAGGGCTCTGCTCGGACGCTTGACACTAGTAGATGCTCCCACGGTTACAGTATGGCCTTGTGAACAGATCCATCATCAAGTAGTCGAATATTCATGACTACAAGCCAACTACGAAGTGACAGTGGTGATATAGGTTGAAACAAGGATCAAGGTAATGTACCTAGGTGGCCACCACTTTTGGTTAGATTGAATATTATGGCTCCCAGGCTTGGCCTGATATCTCTGCTTGAAGTATTCACTACCTCATGCGAACGCCACCACTAGGTGAGGGGGAGCTTGCAGCGGCGTTATCAGGAGCCTCGAGACGTTTCGGTTAACAGCTCCGGCTAGTAACTGTCCGTGCCAGGGTCGCTCGAGTCTGTTGCCACTGCCGGACTGCAAGTGATCAAGGCCACGCCACGAGCCTAGCCATTCCGACACAATTGCAGACGGGGCTTTATAAGTGTTGAAGCATTCGACAAAGTTGGGCCGATCGCTCTGCCTCTAGCCGACCATTGCTGTCTACTCATGGAACCGGCTTGCCGGGCGAAACCGCCTTGATCTGGTGTAAGTATGCTCCACTGTCAATAATTTGCTAGAGATATAGTTTTCAGGTGAACGGTGGGTCCATCAATGATGATGAACAGATTACACGGCCATTCGCAGGCGAAATAGTCTGGAACAGTTGCAGTAATGTATAGTTTGAGTCAAGAGAGAAAGAGAACAAAGACGGTGATGCTCCACCACAGCGACGACTCTCCGTCTTGGGTCGTGTCTTGAGTCGGACTTCGGCTATTGACAGTGACCCTGGACCTCCGCCTGATGGTGAATTTTGGGCCTGGGCGTCAGGTAAGTTCTTTTATAAATAGGGTTGTATGCAGGAATGACCTATTTGTAGCCATCGCCGGGCATACAGTCACGCTGAACTCATGGTATGTCAAACTTGGATCTTCTGTGCACTATGAGGACTGACGTTCTGTTAGGGGTTACAAAAGCTCCTTTGGCGTCTTCCAGACCCATTACACGGCAAACCTCCATAATTCAGCAAGCCAAATATCCTGGATAGGATCATTCCAAACATCTGCACTGTTCTTTATAGGAACCCTCTCTGGTCGTCTCACAGACGCTGGCTACTTCCGTATCACATTCGCTGCTGGCACGCTACTCACCTGTCTCGGTGTATTCATGACTTCTCTCAGTACGACATTCTGGCAACTCCTCCTCTCACAGGGTCTCTGCACAGGGCTAGGTAACGGTCTGATGTTTACTCCCAGCCTTGCTGTTGTTTCGATCTACTTTAAGCGGGGCCCTCGCCTTTGGTATCACTGCTACTGGAAGTGCCACGGGAGGTCTTAAGTTTCCATCCATGGCTCGTCCGCTTCTTGGGAGTATTGGTTTTGCTTGGACGGTTAGAGCCATGGGGTTGGTGCAGCTTATCACACTGGTCATGGCGAATTTACTTCTCAGACCTCGAATACCACCGAGGCAATCGGGTCCGTGGATTGATCTAGCGCAATTGGGATCTTCTTTGTAAGTATGTGCTATTGGTAAGGCATATGGGCATACTAACGGGAATAGATATTCTAGGCAACATTCTTCCCGTTCTACTACCTCGCCTCTTTTGCAGTTTCACAACTGGGCAAACCCTTGAAGTGCTCAGCCGCATTGAATATCCTTCTCGTCGTCAACAGTGTCGGAATTATCGACCGTTCACTACCAAACGCCATCGCACATCATTTCGGAAGCATCGCAGTCCTCATACCCGTCGTGTTCATCTCATCTACGTGTTTATTCACGTGGTCTGCAGTATCCACAGAAGCTGGCTCGTACGCATGGGCTAGCGTTTACGGCGGTATTGTCGCTGGAGCATCCATGAGTTTGTTCCCTCCAGCTTTGCCAGATTTGACAACGGGTGTGCACAAGACAGGTGTCAGGATGGGCATGATCTTTACGACGAACAGCATTGCAACTCTCACTGGGCCGCCTATCGCTGGTATGATTATTAGGCGGCGTTCTGGTGGTCACTACCTAAGTGCACAGATCTTTGCTGGTGCATCGCTTCCTTTGGGTGAGGTGTCTATCTTTATGGCCAAGCGTTTCAGGAGAGTTGGAGGTCAGTATCGAGCTACATGAAATCAAGGAAAAACTTTAGAAGTAAAGCAACCGATATGATTTGCCACGTAACAGTGATAGAGAGAGATTGTCACCAATGGAATGGGCTTCATGATCAGTCGCATCCAGTAACTAGCCAGTGGTTTCACATCAACAGCAACTATAAATCTCAATTATCGATTCAATGACTTGAAGAGTTATGATCTCAGAGTTAAATATAATAGAACCCGATTAGAACAAGTTTAGTCTGCCGGGGATGATACAAGTTTATTGCTAACTGATCATATTAATATGCTTCTGCGTAACTGCCCAGGGTCAGCCAATAGCCGTTCTAGTTTTACAATTAAGGAATTCATGGCCATGAAGTTGGCGATCGCCCGAAATACCTCAGCCTTGAGTGAGAGTACCCCGTGCTGCCTCAATTACCGCACCTCACGTCCACCGACCCCCCTGTATCACCCAAGACCACCAAAGGAAGCACCGGCATGGTCACCGGAACCCAAAAGCTCAAGCGGGACATGCAAGTGGTGTCAGAAACCATGCTGTCAAGGATACCAGAGCCAGAAGGGCCAAGGCCATCATTAAAACGATGCCAGCAGCGCCTACTTTCAATGAGACGTCTATTGTCACAGTGGACCAGGTGGCCTCGAAGTGGAAAATAGCGGATTCGGTTGAGTTGTCGGTCTTGGCTTCGCCAAAAGAGTTTTGCACAGGCTTCTCGACGCCTTGGTCGTTGGGTGGAGATAGTGCATGACCTTTAGTTGAAGAATTCCCGTTGAAGGTAATAGCCATTTTTGTGTTTCTGAGAAAGGTGACCAAGTATTGGAGTGGATGATGAAAGAGATCAAGTTTGATGGTGTAAGGAAGAGGGGTGCAGGAGTCTTTTATAGATTTTTCCCTGGGAAACCTTGCTCAAGTTCCGGGAGAGGCCATATAAACGGAACACGAAAGTTTGTCTTTAAAATTCTGTTTGCATTACCTTTCTCTAAAACACAAATAGTAAAACGTTGCCGTGAACCCTATACAGCTCTATAGGCGCAAGTGACTCCAAATAAAGTCTTCTGAAGCAATAAGTTTCCTCGTTCCAAGAATAAATCTTCTATGAGAATTAAGCAACATACGCGATTTACAGTAAGGGCCATTGCCTCCTGACTACACAGAACTCAGAGAACTTGAGAGAACATTATTTCCAAAGTAATTACAAGAGCAAGCCACAATGAGCACAAATCCAGGCCATTTAATGAAATCGTTATTATTGACTCGCTCCTCCATGCAACGTATAACGACCGCGGCACTGAATGATCACTTGGCAAAGAGGAATAAGGAATCAAGGCTATAAGTGAAAATGATTTTCCACTCTGGCATCCAATAGGAAGCCGTTACTAAAAACTTCGGTTTCGTGGTCTAGTTGGTTATGGCATCTCGCTCACACCGAGAAGGTCCCCGGTTCGAGCCCGGGCGGAACCATTATTTTGCTCTTTTTAACAACTTTCATCGACTGCATATTATTCTCACGTTCGGGGATGCTGATATGGCCAACTGGATAACATATAATAATTGCTCTGGTGTTCACTTGCTTATAGAAGGCATTTCATGACCTGAATACTTAAGTATAAAAGCAATCAACGAGCAACTAATTGCCAAACAGTTACCTCCTTTTGCTTCTTCTTCTTCTTCTTCTTCTTCTGCTTTTTGTTTGAGGTCCAGAACAAATAGACGTCCTAATCGTTCTATTGGAAATCAGGTCCAAACTCATTGGCATACCTCCCCGCAACCTCCAACTCATTTGTATGGCACCGATCAACCACAACATCGTGAGTCTTGGTAGCCGTTCTCCAAGCCTCCAAAACTTCGTAATTCAAATTAGCCACTCTTTCACGGGTCTCTTGTCGTTGATGATCTTCCTCTTCTGCTGACAAAGGATTTTCCTTTGTCACTACCCTCTCATAGGACTGAAGGACGTTGCAAAATGCGAATGTGAAACTCTTGAGGATCGGCCAGCAAGGATTTTCAATTGTAGGTTGGAACATGGCGATGTCGATGTTTGCAAGAAGGGTGATTTCTTGAATACCGTGTCTCTGGGCAAGTGGTCGCATCGCTTCGGCAAAAGCCTCTCTATTTGACCCAATGGGGATGATGATTGGAGGATTATAAGTCTGGTCTAGAACAATCTCCCGCTGGTAGTCAATAAGCAACGTTTGCACAGACATGGGTATCAAATCCAAAGACTTTACAAGGCCTACAATGCTGTTAGCTGGGACAGGCATCAGTGATAAAGCACTCTTACTGTTTGTGATTAGAGCTTCCCCATAGCCATAATCCCGTATGTTCTCTATTGCCCTCACCCCAAACTTCTCCAACCGTGGCCTTACTCGTAAGTCGACACATATCCCCAGGCGTAAAGGTAGGTGTATCAGTAGATCCGCATGCTCTAAAGACTGATATCATGGGGAGTTCTGGAAAATCCTTCCACGTGTCATAAAGCTGCATATACTGCATCCTTTCTGCGTGAACGTCACGCTAAAATCGCTCCGTGATATCTCAAAGATCATGTCCACGTAGGGCTTCTCTCGACGTGGAAGATCTTTGAGGATCCCAAAAGTCTTGTATACGAAGTCATTGAATTCGATTTCGTTTTTCAGGTGATGTTGACGAAAGTCGCAGTCTCCAGGGCCATGTGTGCCGCTTCAGTCGCTAACATATATGGCTGGCAAGAACGCCTTTGACCTTGACCGTAACTTTTCGAACATATGAGAGCCTTTGTGGTGTCAGGCATGTGACCTGTTTGGATCCAAGGACTTTTTCTATTCTCAAGCGTATGTCTTTAAACAGGATTGGTTCGATGAGCTGCCGCCAGCGCCGTGATACAGTGGCAAGGGCGCTGAGCCTCAGTGTTTTTCCCTATTGTAGTCCACCGTTGCAAGTCGAAGGCTTCAGAGGCCGACATAAGATTTGATATTGAGTGCTGGGTTTGGCAGGGATAGAGCAAACGTGTAAGAGGTTAATGAAATAATCTGCCAATAGATTTGCTTTCATTTTTCTATTTGTGAGAGCCGATTGCCTTTTACGTTAAGTCCCAACGCGTGGATTGGCTCATTAATATGAGGGCTAGATTCGGTTGGTGCGCCAACTCTGTCTGTAGCAGTTTCTTGACCCTCCCTGTCATACTGGAGCCTCCCAATGCTAGTGAAACTTTGCTTATCGCGCTGTTCGGATAGCTCAGCCATTTGTTCAAGCCATGGTCCATCGATATCGAAATTAGCTTGATCAGAAACAAACAATCTTAGTTGTGTCCCGCGCAACGTGCGAGCATGGAGGGTCAATGAGCGAGCCGACGCCATTGTCAGCGAGAAAGAGCGATGATACCGTACAGTACGGGGACTCGACTGCTTGCCATTTGTTGTTTGCGCTATGAGTACCAAGTACTGAGTGACTAGGTGACTTTGTGTGGTCAGCGTCCCTAGGCCTGTCTCTATACTTAAAGTGGCTCTTACGTATCATAGCTAGCCGTGTGAGATGTAGAGGGGAGATGGTCTTAGTTGAAGTTGGCCTATTTATGCATTGGTTCCCCTCTTTGACGAAAAACGAGATAAGCATCCGCCTGGCTTGCAAACAAAGAGAACAACCTGGAGCAAATCCAAGGAATAAAGCCTAGTGCGAAAGGCAGATTCTATTCACACCTTAAGAGCATGATTTAATCATCTGCACATTAGTTGCGATTAACTGACGTTACAATATACAGCTGGTTAAGCCGATTGCGAGCAAAGGGTGAGGATTGCACAGAGTGGATGCGATTCATCCAAGGAAAATAATTCGACACTAATTAGTGAGGAGCATATCGGTGCGATGGAGCGATCTCTGCATGCTCGGCATGTGTCAAGAGGAGCGTTAAGTGTCCCGGCTACCGACAACCAGTCAAATGGTCCGACAAGTACTAGAGGCGGGCGGGAAATGATTCAAAGCCGCAACCAGGGTTGGAGAGCTTTTGGCTGACCTTGGAACAAGAGGCTGCGAAGCTATAAGCTGCGAAGCTATAAGCTGCGATTGCTTCAAACACATCACCATCACCCTAGAGTGTAACAGTTTCGATACCAAGCAACGACTATCCTAATACAGCGTCGCCGGGCGGCACGGACAAGAACATTAACATCCAGGCAACCCCAAACTCATGGCATTGTATGTCTGTGTTTCTATATACTAAATCTTTAATAAAAGAATGCAAAATCTTTCTATCTTATCTCGAAGCGAAACGAAAGCCATTAAGGACTTGCGGATTCAAGGTAGGTTGGTTCAAAGTAGCTGGGGAAAAAGATCAGATAAGATTAGATGCGCCAGAGAGTATCGTGAGTGGAGTCGGATCATAATTTGTGGACGGAAAAAAAGTGGTGTGGCTGATTAGTGATTATGATTGGGTCAATTGAGCCTCAATTGACATTTGAGTTATTCGCTGCTCGTTGGGGAAATACCCCAGATCTTCATTGATCACCATAAAACAACTGCAGTAGTTCGCGAGAATACGGAGTAGTTAACGTGCTTAATTGATCTTGGGTATTCCAGCAATTCGGCCCCTCACAAATACATACCAAACCCTCCCAGCCGCTAGATTAATTACTTGTACTGAACTGCGTCATCCAGCACCCGCCCACCACACGGCTCACGAAGCCGAGTCTCGCCCACATGGTATAAGTGATTGGTGCCTTTTAGTTCCCTGCCTCGAGGCATGTACCTTGCATGTGACGCAGCCATTTGTCTACGGGATGTGTGCAGTGTCGGATAGAGGAATAATTCCCACCATATCCAATCGTCTTGCACATGTGCTTCATCCCTCCCGTGCACGTGGGCCCTTGTTTATCTGCCGTGGGGGCCTTCGTCGATCCTTGTTGTTTTCCCCCTCTAACCCGTATTCAACTAGACCACGACTCGAGGGGGGACCGTGTAGTCTATGAATGCATGCAGCTTCCCGTAGGTGGGCGGGCCTTTTTGGTTCTTAAAAGCCAGGCCATCTGCACCCTGCTGATCTCTGTCTCTTCTCCCCCAGGTCCTATACGTTATTTATTTGCTATACATTATTGCTCAAGTCTCAGGGCTTGGATTCACGACAGTTTTTGTTTTATCGGCAAAGCGGGGAGTCGGGACAGCATGGATCACAAAACATCCCACTTGCCGACATGGCAGGATAACAAAACCGCGAGCGAGAAGGACGGTTTCGCTGGACATGATGAGAAATCGACGCTTTTGAACGACAATACGAAAAATCAACAAATGATGGATATGCAACAAGTCTTCAACAATCGCCTTATGCCCGTCGCGTTCGCTCTCCCGTGGGTGATGGGGATGTTAATTTCGTGGATCCCATTCACCAAGATCTCTCTTTACAACGCCCCCGATTTCCTGTACGTTCATCACCAACGCCTCATCTGACCGTGTCTAACGATTGCAGTATTCTCGCCGCTCTCATCAGCACCCTTGAGGCCCTCAGCATCGTCGCAGTCTTTATCTTCACATCCCTCCGCCCCTCAGCGCTCGACACCGAACCCAGCCCCAGCACGACGACTCTCAAAGAGAAATTCTTCCGCGCCTGGTTCTGGTTTCTGTTCATTAGTCCATTTATCACAGGAACTATGGTCGTTTTGATGGCGAGCGACATTTCATGCGATCCGGAAGATGATCTGGATATGCATCAGCCAATCTGCCAAGTTGGCATTCGTCTCATTAAAGCGACTGCTTTATGTCGCGCTGGAATTATGTACGTCCCCTTCGACTCAATTAAACCTCTTCCGATAAGCTAACATGTCATCAGCGCGACATTTCTCTTTGCTACATCTTCATATTTAGAACAACGACCTACGAAGCGCTGCACCGACTCGGACTCTGCATGATGTTTTGGAAAAATCTATGGCGTCATGATCTTTTGTACAACGATACCCCAGAAAAGCATCAAATACACTGAATAAAAGCCAACCACTTATTAAACAAATAAACTTTATCCCAGTTTCAAGATTCCTCAACCGAAAACTTTCGGCGCCACTTGGTGTTGTTTCTGATGACGTTCTGGTCTGTGTTTAGTGCTGCTTGAGTGCTTTTTAGTGCTATCGTAAGTGCTTGTTTTTTGGTGCTCGGATGTCGCTCATGCGTTATCATTGAATGACGCCACGTCCATGGGGCTTCCAAGCATTCTCCCCTCCCGAGATACCCGCCTCCCGAATCAATTCCCCTTATCGAGCGAATGCGTTGCTTGCATGCGTCGAGAATGAAAATCGCTTGCGTTGCGTTGCGTGCGTGGTGATACAATCCGCATCTCCCACTTTCCGGCAGTTGTCGTAAGCATTTCGCGTCGCACTGCAATCCAATCCAATCCAAACTCTGTTTTAAGCATAGCCAACTTTTCAGCCCTCCGATTTTCATCACGTTACAGTGAGTGCCCGAGCTTTGGCATGCAGCCAGAAAGAATTGATTGCAAGCGGGTGGCTCGCGTGCACTTTTTCTCTACCGAGCTAGACCGATAAAAAAAAGAGAACCCAGCATTGAGCTGTGCCTCTTTGTGACATGTTGAAAATGTCCCTTGACCTTTGCTAACCTCGTTCAAGATGCGAATTCCTCGTCTTGTCTCGTTCGGTTGCTTCCGTGGGCGTAGCCGGCAGGGCGCTACGCCCGATTGAATGTTATCTTCCGTCTTCCGAGGTTAATGCCTTGGCTCGAATCCCTGCCGCACGTCTCATTTTATCAGGGACTGGGGATTGGTTAGACTTTGCAGTCAGCGCTGAATCAGCGCAACTCGGCGTCAATCGACTATACTGTATACAAACATAACCTTGCAGTACGTGAATAAACCCGAACCATGATACCCTATGCCCAGGCTTGAATGAGAACATCATTGCGTTATTTGGTCGTGTCTTACACTTGGCCTACGTAGAACTCACCGTCAATAACTGAATAATTTCTTGTCATGTGCATGGCGATTCCACAAATAATTTACTCGGCGTTATCTGCCTGATTACGAGGACGAATGGGCAATCAAGGAAATACACGTCGCAAGCCAAGAATACTTCTGATAAGGATTCTTTGGTATATGACTGAAAGGCCCCCAATGCGACATGTACGGTCGTCAGAATAGGCATTTCGGGCCGCTCGGTTATGAAATGTCGTTTGTTGAATTTGTACAGAGTATATTGCTTGTGTAACCAGGCTGACCAAATTGGCACTTTAAAAAATAGTGAACTGGAAAGAATTGCCATCCTTGTACTCCATTCTGTATGCAGGTATACGTCCAATCATTGCTTTTATAACAAAGTCGAAAAAGCAAAAAAGACAATACAATCATTTCCCTGGGCCTTTGTAGCATACCATACGCAAATGTAGTTCCCTCTTTATCGCCCCCAATCTTTCATCCAATCACAAAAAACATATCCAGTCGAAACAATGCCCTTCCTACTCCTCACCAACGAACTCTTTTCGTCTGGTCTCGACAACCGTCAAAAACTCTTCAAACGCCTTCCTATCATTCTCCTTCTCCCAGGAACTAACATTCATAAACTCCTTCCCATCACCAGGGCTATCAGTGTAGGTATAGCCTCTACCTTCAACATATTCGATGTACTGGAAGACGGTACCATAATCCCAAATGGCTTCAGATCCATACCGTCGAATACCAGTGCCCGTGGTACAGGGCAAGGGACACTCAAAGTGCTGGTGGCTGGTGTCATGGAAGGGCTGGAAAATAGCCTCGTGGTCTTCTTCGACGTGTTCGTAAAAGTCCCCCTCATAGGTCGGGTCTATTGCTTTCCAAGCACTGCCGGAGTCTAAACCCCAGCCTTGTCCAATTTTGAAGACGCGGAGGTTGGGCATGGTATTTGCCCAGTGCTTAAAGATGTGGTACCAGCGGGTATGTGTATGGTAAGTTGAGTCCTCACGCCAGGCATGATTCCTTATCCGCTGGGCCTCCTCTTGAGAGACCTCAACCGTAGCCCGATTCCATTCCGAGTGCAGAACTGTGCAGTCATCGAGATAAAGCCTCTCCATGCCAAGGGATCCGATCCACTCAACCTGCCACCAATCAGTGAACTCAAAGTGTCCCAAAGCGAGAACCTTGAGATTGCGCAGATCGTCGGCACCGATCAGGTGGCAGTCCTTGTTGGGAGCCCATCCCCAAAACGTTGAAGAATACAAGGACAGGACTTGGAGATTGCTGGCGATGCTAGGGGTGAGCACTGTATCGCGAAGATCGTGGTTGATACCATGTTTTGTAGGGTGGGCTTTGAGGTTATCAAGGTCAGCTATGCTGATGCGCAGGTCCTTCAGAGCTCCCGAGTTCATGACGGCCAAGAAGGCAGGACGCTCTTCGATGCCACTGATATCAGAAATATTCGAGATTGTCAGGGTCTTGATAGGAAGTGTAGCCTCAGCCTGAGCCGCAGCCATGGCATCCCTTTGAAAATAATCATCTATGTTCCAGGTCCCCTCGAGACTGCGAAACAAGGTCTCCAAAAGTCGGGATTGCGTATTATGTGTGATATGAAAGTCATCAGACTCTAGACGTATGTTGAGAGTGTCGAGTCTAGGAAACATAGAGATGAAAGGAACAGCTCGGAGAAACTTGTCTATGTGTTCCCGGCGTTTATATCCGTCACAACGTCCTATCCACGTATCGCAAGTGACTTCTCGAACATGACATCTCAGATGTTCCGCCATGGCGATGTCAGTGAAGCGCTGTGGCTCATCTCTATAAGCGCGGACGCGAATGGCGCGGAAGATGATTGGTGTGATGAGGCGGCAGAAAGTATGACTGACGAGACGAAGGTCGATCAGGGAATATTTGTACATATATCCAAGGATCTGAACCTGAAGCTCCTCAGGGAGGGTAGAGAGAGAAGGTGTTGACATGATGATGACAATGTGAGAGAAGTCAAGATGTGAATTGAAGTTGAGAGTGAGACTGAAATTGAAACTGATGAGTGGTCCGCGGAGATGAGATGACTGAAGTTGGCGTTGAGAGATAAGGCGATTGGTGGGGTCAACTCGAGTCAGGTCCTCGGAAATATAAAAGAGGAAAGGAAAATCTGGGACAACTTCAGAAAGAACACGGGATTTTATAGTCAAGGGAATGACAGAAACTGGCATCTGAGAAAAAGTTTGATTTCTGAGTTCGTGAACGAATGGGAAGATTAAAAGCTTGACAGGCTATGATACGGCCAGTCAACGAGGCGAGCCACAAGGTTTCAAAATCCAAGAGTTATATTTTGAGCAGGATATGAGATACTTAGAGCATGATCATATAGACTTTCATATTGGTGTAGTCATCTGTGAGAGTGGAAGCTTAAAGGTCTCAAGGTTCAGAATAGAGGCTCGGGAGTGGGGTGAGGCTATGAGCCAACCAATAAATTTAACAAGGCCAACCAAAGAAAAGAATAAGAAAATAAACAGAAAACGATAGGCTTCCCTAAAATATAGTTTATAAATATCTGACTTAATGCATGTTTTTAAAACTTTTTATTCGATGACATGTCATGTCCTCATGCAACGATTCTATCATTTCTGATTGGCTTAATCATCTTTCGTCCAATGATACTTAGCAGCAGGATGATCAGCAGGCGGTCTAGCAACACCCTTCTTCCCATAGACATTCTCTCTATACGTGCCTCCATCCACAGCATAATCATCCCAAAACAATCCCCTCTCTCTCAAAACAGGCAACAAATCAGAGATGACCTCCTCAAAACTCGCTGGCATGAGAGCATACGCCAGATTGAATCCATCAACGTCAGCTTCATTGACCCATCGCTCCATCTCATCTGCAATACGCTCTGGTGTTCCTGCGACTGTGGCTCCTAGACCACCGACCTTGATATGATTTGCGACAGTGTGCTTCGTCCATTTCGGAACACCTGGAATCGACTTGGACCATGACTCCACAGCTGAGCGAATCGCATTTGACTCGACATACCGTAATTCCTCATCATCACCATACTGCGCGAGATCAATGCCCGTCCAGCCCCCAAACAGCGCCAACGCACCATCCTCAGAACCATAGCTCACAAGCTCCTTATACTTCGCCTCAGCCTCCTCCTGCGTCTTTCCAATGATCGGACAGAACAGAGCCAAAAACTTGATCGCTTTAGGATCACGGCCGAATTGTTCCTTTGCTAGGGTTCTGATCTCAGCTATGTTCTTCGCCACCGTGACGGGGCTGTGGCCAGCGACGAAAATGGCCTCGGCGTGCTTGGCGGCAAAGTTCTTTCCAGCTTTGGAAGTCCCGGCTTGGAGGATCACGGGGGTGCGTTGAGGGGAGGGCTGGCAGATGTGAGGGCCGGGGACGGTGTAGTATTTTCCTTCGTGGTTGATTAGGCGGACTAGGGAGGGGTCTGTGTAGATGCCCTTTTCACGGTCGAGTTTGACTGCGTCGTCTCGCCATGATGATTGCCTGGATTTGTGAGTGAAAAGTCAAATGACGATGGCGAGTCACGTACCAAAGCTTGTAAGTGACATCGACGTATTCTTCCGCAATGGCATATCTTTCATCGTGGCTCGGCTGCTCAGTGTGTCCGAGATTTCGAGCAGCAGAGTCAAGATATCCAGTCACGATGTTCCAGCCCAGTCTTCCACCAGTGAGATGGTCCACAGTGCTGAGTCTGCGGGCAAGATGATAAGGCTGTTCATAAGTGGTCGCCACGGTTACACCGAAACCGATATTTTTAGTAGCTGCTGCCATGGCTGGCACAGTAGCGAGGGGTTCATTGACAGGCCACTGCGCGCCTGAAATGATGGCGGGATCTGGATTGCGAGGGCCTTTGTATACATCATAAGAACCCTGAAAATGTGAGCGACATGATGTACAATGCAATGAGAGTAACTCACAAGAACATCAGCGATAAAAATACCGTGAAACTTTCCCTTCTCAAGAAGTTGAGCCAATTTCACCCAGTGACTAATATTATTAAAATCCCATGATTTATCATCTGGATGTCTCCAAAGACCAGGCGATTGATGACCACTGCATGATTCAACAAAGGCGTTGATAATGAGCTGCTTCTTAGCCTTGGGGGCGTCTTGTGATTCAGACATTTTGGCTGCAAGTTATCACTCAAAATTGAGTGAATGAGGGGTAAATAATGAGGCAATATTAGTGAATGAGATTTTAGGTGAGTATACTACTCATATAAGTGAATGCGACATATTAAAGTGTTGCGCAATCGACCGACCAGAATCGCGTGCTTGCGGAGATGGTGGGGCATTCGCGTGTACCTTGAGATCTACTTACATCACTTGCCGATATCAGATGGTGTGACGAGACTAAACACTATTTCTCGGATAAATGGATGTGATCAGAAATGCTACTCATATTTCATTTTGTGGCTTAATCGTGTAACCTGACAGCTGTTCAGCTTACTTGAGACAACCGCTGACTTCCACTTTAGAAAATTCTCATGTTCTACCACAGAAACGGGCCAGTGCTTCTTTTATTTTTCCTTTTTCTATGCGAAGTACCGAGGACCGGAGAGTTGGTGGGTGAGTATTTGCCGAGATAAGCGTTGTAGATCACGTCAGTTTGTAGCTGCAGGGTTTGGATATCATATTTCATCATTTTAGGGCGGAACACGCCACAAATTGATACCCCAAACTAACTAGGATCCTGAAGATGAAGCAAGAGAGACAAAAATGTCGATATATATTTGTGTCCAGAGACTATGCCCTACAGCTGTGTAACACAAAGTAAGCACAAGGCTGAGTTTACCTTAGAAAGAAAGTAGGCCACCTCCAAATCCTACCATATACAGCCCATTTATAGGCTGTAGAAAGTAAAAGGGGTCAAATCTTTATTAAGGTCATCAAATGACTAATTAAATAATATTTTGAATTTATAGTCAACGTTGCTAAATATCTTAATCACATCTCTTGGGATACAGCGTCATGGGTTTTGCTCCTATTGAAATTCCTCCGCCTAACCAGTCGCCGACTTTGGGGTCTCCAAATTCATTGTAATTAGACCCGATGTTGAATCTCTCGTCGCTGAAGATGACCCCAGTCCTATGAAACCGCCCGCGAATGCTGCCGTGGGAAACTCGGCGATGCACTCTGAGAAAATATCAGTCTCTAGCGCGTCGTGTTAGTAGATATACTCAAAGGCCGAATCGGATAAAAAGGATGCTGTCACAAGAGACCAGAAATATTATTCACTTGGATGACTTGCCTTCGTATATGTCCCAAGTAAACTGATCAAGTGACATATCTGTATCCCGAGGCGCGTCGGAGGTAGAAGCAGCCAGAGGTTCATCAGTTTCTTGTTCCTGTAACCCTAGTCTGAGGCTCAGATACTCAATCGCCCGCCTAGCTTCTATAGATACTGTGGCAGAGTGCAGCCAGTGGGGATAAGCGTTGCGCAGCAGATCGTGAATCTTTGTCCCTGTGCTGTCTTCTAGCGAAACATCCGGTCGTGACCTGGCCAGCTGTACATAGTAACACAGAATACTCACGCCCAGCAAGAAAACCGCCCTCGGCCGGGAGGACAGGAGCATCCACCTGGCCCACCTTGCAGGATACAGCAGGCCATCTCCTTGTGTCTCATCGAGCACTATCTGCTGAAACTCGAGAATCTTGATCGCCGCTTGGACGCAAGCATTGCGTGAGTATTGAAAGCATGCCTGGGTATACGGTGGTGCGAGATACTTCCGGTGAAGCCAGATTGTTAGTCTTTGTATGGCGAGCTGGAGCAACACGCGGTGCATAACGATCTCGGGTGCCACCATGAAAGCTTGACTAAGGGGCTGCCATTTGAAAATGGGCGGTAGTGATGCCTCAGCTTGTTGCAGCTTCTGGTCCAGGTCCATGATTTCTGTGTACGGATGCTCTTTGGTGTCGTTGACAAGATCGTTGACCAGTCCCATTACCTTATCTATCCTCCCCTTAGCCAAGCTGTATAGCACAGGTGTTACTTCCGTCTCGGGTCGCGAAGGAGGTATTTCAGGGGTATTCTCATCGAAATCCGAGTCTAACAAGTTACGCGGCTCAGCCGTGTCATACTGCTGTGACTTAAGAACACACGGCAATGCCATCTGGTTCGAGAGACGAAGATCCAACTGCACAATGACAGCCCACACGCGCCGCCGCATCTCGCCAGCAAATGGGGAAATGCTTGGGAAGTTGTTGGGGTCCCGATGGTAGCCCTGACTCAGGGCGAGCTGAACAATGAGGCCTTGCACAAGCCACAGCCCAGTCTCATCATTCTGGGACATGAACGACTCAAAGATGAGATAATTAATCAAGGTTTCTATTACGTATTCCCCGCCTTTGGTGTACTGGCCCAATATTAGGCTGTGAAGAGTCTGTTCTCGAAACAAGCGCACTCGTTCTTGAATTTCTGGATCTGTTGGGTCGTCGATCGAGTGTTGACATAGTGTAGCGACGCACATTACGCTGAAAAGGAGTCCAATCCAAGTGCAAGACACTGCTGAGGGGTCCTGCCAGAACTTCTCATACTATTCAAGTGGATCAAACTGTCAGCCAACCTACAAAGAACTCAGGGAATCCATTTCAAAAGGGGGGGGCAGGTGTAGGCTTCGTATTGAACCATAAGATACGACCCGATGCGTAGCAAATTTCATACCTCTTGAAGAAAATGCCCACAGTGAAGTATGCTTGGCACAACGCCTTGTGTGTTGAAATACCTCGCGACCATACGATCCACAACAGGCCGGGGCGGAATAGAGGTAAGAAGATCAGCTTTTGTGGTATGAACCGGCTCATATAGTAGTCTGGGCCCAGGGTTTTGGAGAAGGTCATGATCGTTGGTGGCGAGCATGCGGGCCTCCTCTTCCTCCTCGTAATGGTCTCTAAGCTCTGAAATGCTGTCGAGCACAGCGGCCCAGTGAACGTTTCCGACGTAGCTGGCACCGACACCATGTGAGCTGAGACGCATGCTGCCGGGCTGTGAGGGTGATAGTGCAGAGGCGGGGGATTCAGCACTGCCATTTCTCTGCGGTGGCTTGGTTTGGGATGAATGCCCTCGAATGAGACCATCAGGATCAACATCGGGCGTATTTTGTTGCTGCTGCGCCAGTAGGGAACGAACAAGCTCTTCGAGCTGCTGGATGCGATCACCAACACTAACTTTGCCTTTGCTCTTACTTGGCCCGCCTAACTCATAGGTGCATGATAACCCGATTCCTCTATTCGTGCAGGTTTTACATGGCAGCTGACGGTCACATCGCACTCTGATTAACTACCAATTAGTCTAAAATATGGTGAGAACGATAGCTGGGTGACTCTACTTTCGGTTCCTACAGAAGGTACATGACAACAGCGGCTTTTCCCTCCGACGATCTCGAAGCTGAGGCAGCGAGTCTTTGATTACAGTGCTGGGCTGCTGATGCGGCTGGTTCGGTATATCGGTGTAAGCGGTGGTCTCAAAAGTATCCATGAAATGCAAGCTTTAGCTTTTTGCTATGGAGAATGAGAGTCAGTTGAAAACAAGACTGAAAATTGGCATATGGAGCAATCGACGGAGCAAAGTGATGGTCGGTGTTGAGGAAAGGCGGGGCTATGGCCGGAGCATTTGACGGAGCATTTAATGAACCAGTCAGAGGACCGTAATTGTCGACGCCCCACCTTTTTGCTTCCGGCTTTACATACCAGACAGTTAAGTAGGGCTGATATGTACATAGTAAGGAATATCGTCTGAAAATCACAATTACTTATGTCATGCCTCCTATCGAAGCACTCTAAGATCATTATCGAGAGTTTAATATGTACTACAGATTATTTGAGATTGATAACAGGTATAGTAGGTGTTTATCCTGGTATCCTTTCCTTTGATTTTGATTCGCTGGATGCTCTGTTGCTAATAATACCCAACGGAGCAAATCCGGGGCAAACAGGTTCACGCGGCATGGTCAACTGGCACTTGAGTTTGACCTTAAAAGAACCATGTTTCTTCTCATATGCCAATACGTAACCTGTTTTTCAACACGGTTGCCATAAAAAAAGAGGCAACAAAGCACAAAATCCAAAGATTTCAAAGAGCTTCCCTAGCCATTACACCACACGACCACGGGTATCTGGCAACAATGGCGAAAGGTCAAGCCGAGAGCGGTAACACCGTTTGCAATAATAAAGCAAGCACGGCAGCCGGGGTCGATGCAACGGTTCAAGGCAATACTGGCCATGAAAGGGATTTAAATATCAACAACCAAGAAGAAGCGAGGTGTCATGATACCCTGTCTGAAACTTTAAGCAAAGACACCAAGAAAAGTCCTATTGCATCTCCTACACCAGATCCAAATATCGTCGACTGGTCTGGTCCCAACGACCCCGCAAACCCACGCAACTGGTCCAAAGCCTACAAGTTGACCAACATTATAATCATTAGCTTATCCGTCCTATACACTAATCTCGCAACTACCATGTTCGCCCCCGGCGCCGCTACCATGAAACGAGAATTCGGCTACAAGAGCAACACAGTTGAAGTCCTTACCATCACCATGGCATCACTCGGTTTCGCCCTCGGCCAGTTGTTCATACCCCCTATGTCTGAAGTCTTTGGCCGTATGCCCATCTACCGGACAAGTTCAATTTTTTACATGGGGTTTACGGCTGGTTGTGCGCGTAGCACGAATGTTGCAGAGTTCCTGGTGTTTCGGCTGTTGACGGGCATGGCTGCTGCGTCGTATATGTCTACGGGAGGCGGAACGGTGGCTGACCTTTTGCCGAAGGAGGAGAGAGGTGTTGCCATGGCTATTTTCACGGCTGGACCACTTTTCGGTCCCGTATGTTTCCTTTCGGTGTTCTGGGGAATTGAGTAGGCTGATAGTGAAAACAGGTCCTTGGTCCTATCGTGGGAGGACTCGTTGTTGAGCAGCTCGGATGGAGGTGGTGTTTCTACCTCATTTTGATCCTTGTAAGTCTAAAGCCGTCTACTATTTATCAGAAACATGCTAACAGATGAAATTCCTAATAGGCCGGCGCAGTCACCCTAGTCACCTTCTTATTCATGCACGAAACAAGCTCTATTAACATCCTCAAATCTAAAGCTGCTCGACTTCGTAAAGAAACTGGCAATCCGAACCTCCGCGCCGTTGGTGATAAGCAAACTCCAGTCAAGCAGCTTGTGCTACACGCCCTAACCCGACCGATGAAGTTCCTCGTCACATCACCCATCGTCGCTTTGATTTCACTATATATCGCCTTCAACTTCGGTGTAACCATGCTTCTTTTCGCCACATTTCCTACCGTCTACGAAAATACCTACCACTGGAGCGTCAGTGTTTCCGGGCTGGCGTACATTGGTGTTGGAGTTGGCTGCGCAATAGGCGTCATCACCTTTGCCAAGCTGAGTGATCGCCTTTTGAATGCTAAAGAAGCACAATGCCGCCCTGAACGACGGCTTATCATGATGATGTTTGTATCTCCAATGTTTCCAATCGGTCTGTTTATCTACGGTTGGACCACTGAGTACAAAGTACACTGGGTCGTGCCCATTATCGGTACCGCTATCTGCGGACCTGGAGCCGTCATCATCAATTCATCGTCGCAGACGTACATAATCGACATCTTTGGGCCTCAAGCAGCGGCGTCGGCACTTGCAGCGATTACTCTTCTTCGCAATCTTACGGGTGCTTTTCTGCCCCTTGCCGCTCCGACACTCTATGCCAACCTTGGATTGGGTTGGGGGAATAGTATACTGGCCTTTATCACGGTCGCTTTTATCCCCGTGCCGATTTACTTCTACTTGTACGGTGCTTCCCTTCGAAAAAGGTTTCCTGTCGAGATCTGACGTAGAGGCTTGTGCTGCTGCTACCTTATATGGGAATTTTATTATCTGAGAGGAACCAAATGATCCTGAATCTTTTATAATTCTATCTACAAATGGTTTTAATATGTTATATTCTTTCCTTTTTACTGTATTTGTTTCCTGTCTTTGGTTATTTTGTTTTAGATTGGATTATGGTATAGAACAAGCTGAAGAGATAAAATCATATATTTATTCTAAAATGTCGTATAATGTAAACAGTCATTTCGTCATTGAGTACCCCAAGACATTAACAAACAATCAAGAATAATTGAAATACCTTCATCAAAATGGTGACCATTGAAGTATAGTGCTTAGTCATGCTGGATGGCATGCTCTGTGCCGCTCATCTCATCATTTTAGACCAAAACACGCCAATACCCCAGTCGAACCTTGATGACGCCAATCACGCAATAGAAGATCAGCTCATGGGTGCAAACCTCAGATAACCGCTTTGACATTGACACAATTACTGGAGAATGATCGCCATAGATAAATTGCTCAACTGCCGAGGTTAGCTGGAGCTGCATACAATGTTACCCGTTTGTCCCTGCAGCCATGATAACGACATACCCGAAGCTGTACACGCAATATGAGGAGCCGTGTGCCTATATAGACAGCATGTTTCTCAGACACTATTCTCAGTTTATTATTCTCCATAGAGTGATATTGTCATTATACCAAAACATTTCTCATCATGGCCACCACTTTTGAGAGTTCTGACCCAGCTGTCTACAAGGAGTATGAGGCTCAGTGGTCCACTCTCCCTACGAATGCCGAAGGCTGGATCAAGCGTGCCAAAGATGTCGCTCAAGTCCTAGCAAAAGACGCTCCTGCTCGAGAACGCGCAAACAAGTCTCCCAAGGCCGAAGTCGCTCTTCTCAAGCACTCTGGTCTTCTCAAGATCCTGGGTCCAGCTAAATATGGCGGTGGTGAACAGCCGTGGAGTGTTGGTTTCAGAGCAATTCGCGAGGTTGCCAAGACGGATGGGTGAGTTTTTACCTACATGATAATGAAGGATGGACGCTGATTGATGGTAGATCTGTTGGCATGCTTCTCGGCTACCATCTTGTCTGGTCCACAACCGCCAATGTAGTCGGAACGCCTGAGCAAGCAGACCGCACGCACAAACTAATCATCTCAAACAACTACTTTGTCGGCGGTGCTGTGAACCCTCGCGACAACGATCTGAAGATCACTTCCAATGGAGATAAGCTTGTCTTCAACGGTTTCAAGAACTTTAGCACCGGTGGTGTTATCTCAGACTTGACTGTTCTCGAGGGTGTCTATGGTGAGAAGGAAGAGCACATCTTTGCTATTGTCCCGACGCAGCAGCCTGGAATTCAGTTCAAGCATAACTGGGATAATGTTGGGCTGAGACTTACAGAGTCGGGAGGTGTTAATATTGAGAATGTTGAGGCGCCATGGAGTGATGCCTTGGGATGGGATGTTGAGGCGAAGAAGCCCGATCCTAATATTCTGGCGATCCCCTTCACAAGTCTGTTCTTGCCAACGTAAGTTGTTACTTTTTGTTATTATTCTTCGAATCTTCTAACGTGAGACACAGAATTCAACTCAACTTTGCCAACCTCTATCTCGGAATCGCAGCTGGTGCTCTTGAGTTTGCGAAGGAGTATACTCTCAAGAACACTCGCGCCTGGCCCTTTGGCGGTGATGTAAGTACCAAAGTCTCCCATAACAACATTCTCTAACAAATTTTTAGAACAAGGAGAAAGCAACGGACGAGTTCTACATCCTCTCCACCTACGGCAACTTCTTCGCCCACCTCCGAGCCGCCGAAGCTCTCGCCGAGAAAGCCAACGCTGAAGCTGACTCCCTCTACGCCAAGTACTCACAAGATCGCTCCGCGGTTACAGCCGAGCAACGCGGCGAGTTTGCTGAATGGGTCGCTAGTCTCAAGGTCGTCACTACAGACACTGGTCTCAAGATCACTTCTGGAGTATTTGAAGTTACGGGCTCGAGGTCTACGGCTGCGAAGGTTGGCTTGGATAGATTCTGGAGGGATTTGAGAACGCATACGCTGCATGATCCTGTGGCGTATAAGAACCGGGAGTTGGGAAGATATCTTTTGTTGGGGGAGTATCCCGAGCCTACTTGGTATACTTAATTAGTTTTGGCTATTAGATAGGTCGAATTATATTAAATGAGACTGCTATACCCCGAATAGGACTTGAGACAAAGGACTATTGTATACGAAGGGTTCAATTCGCTGATACTTGGCTCTCTACAGCCAAATCTCTGATACATGGGGACACGAGCCAACAAAAGGCCAGGCCTCGCGTCGCGTAGAATTCCAAATTACCTCCAGATATCTCCGACGTACTATTTCCTAAAAAGATCCCTAGAATAAAAGAGGTCCTTACTTTCGTGAACCAGAAGCTCAGTTCTTTGCCTTGTTAGTCTCTGGACCCGCGTATGCCGCAGTCTGACTAATCTTGGTCCAAGGAGCGAAAGCCTGTTATTTTGGTTAGTTTCTGAGTTATCATTGACTAGGAAGAATACTCACATTCTTAACATTGTGCAGCGTCGCAGCAAGTTCAGGAAAGTGTCGACATAAAACATCCTTCATTGTATTGTTCTGCACCCAATTGATGCCCTCGCGAGTATAAACCTCGGGACACCAGCCATCACCGGCGAGGAAGCGATCGGACTTGATGCGGCGAGTGGCCATGAGGATAAACACACGGAAGGCAGTGTCGCTAAAGCCAAAGCCCTTGGGCAGAGGCTCGCTGAGCGTACCAACTAGAAGATCTACGGCTTCGAGATCGCCGTCGTAAACTTCCTTCAACTCAGCAGCTAGCTTGGCATCACCGCCTGTGAGATCAAGGAAGCTCTTTGCGGGTGCCATGTGAAATAGGCGGCGGAAAGCGTTGTAGCGAGGAACGCCGCGCTCACGATCACGAAGAATGTCAATGGTTCCCAAGTCCAAGTGTCGACCGTGAGGAAAGTCTTTGTCGCCTGGGATATTTAGGTCTCGTAAGAAATTGGGCATGTTGTGGGCTCGAATAGCACCTGGATGGTTGACGCCGAAGGAGTAAAAGACATCAGCGAAAGAGAGACCCAAGCCTGATTTATCTTCGTTGAAGGGCTTGCGGGCTGACTCGAACGCAACCTCTTTGATAGGTAGTGTGCCCTTGTGTTGACCATCTTTAATGCTAAAAAATGCTACGTTGTCGGGGATGAGAGGATGAAGACGGTAGACGGAGACGAATTCTTCTGTGAGGCAGTATGGGACATTGTCGTGATCAACACCTGATCCGGGAATACCAGAAATGACTTCTGACTTGTTATCAAAGACACGGCCAAAGACATGCCAAAGCTATTAAATCCAGTCAGAAATCGATCATAGTAAACAAGGCTAGAAGACATACCTTGTCGCCCAAAAGTCCCCACCAGTTCGCATTCATTCCAATCTGCAGCGCCGGGTGCTGCAGAATACCAGGTGTCCACTCAACAGTATGAATCTTAGCCATAAGCGCACAATTGATCAGTCGAGCAGTATCAAAGATCTGATCACTCGACCAGCTCGGATTCGAAAGATGAAGCTGCGTAGCAATGGCGTTATGCTCAAGCGCGAATAGCGTATGAAGAAGTTCAAGTCCCAACCACCAGTTCTGTCTGAACCCAGTCTCGGGAATGCCATCATTCGATCGAGGGAGGAACTGAACGCCATCTTCGCGCGTAACATGGAGTTGACCGGGATATGATTTATCACACTTCGCTCGGAGAGCTTTCGTCTCAGCTTCAGTGGATCCGTAGATCTGAGAGGCGTCCCACCAATGGGTGCACTCGTTGGTATAAGCTGGTGTCTCGATATCCTGCTGCGAAAGGGCATCGTCTCTCTTTGTTCGAGGGATTTTCATGATGCGCTCAGACCATCTGTCGGCTTTGTCTAGAGGAATCTCGACGTCTTTGTCGCCGTTTGTGACGAGGAAGTGCTGTGCCCAATCATGGACTTGGAACTGGATCCACGCTGCGGCGAGAAGATTGACGATCTCAGCGGGTTTGAACTCGCCTTCCGGTCTAGCCAGAATCTTTTCTGAAATAACTCTGGGGTTGGGAGTGAGCAGCTCCTGTTGAGTTGGCGGTGTGGTGTACTTTCTTGGGACATTTCGACCGAATCTCATACCAGCACAACCCATCTTTGGTTGCGCTAGATCATTGAAATCACCATCTGAGTTCCTGTTCGCGATGAATTTGGAGTTCTTCATGGGGCAATCAGCTGCAGTGCCCTGAAACTCGGCATTGGGGTAGGTGTCGTAAAGGTTCTTTTCGCGGAGTTCATATCGAAGGGCGAGGAGATTGAAAACACCAAGCCACGTGGGGAGTTTGTGCCAGTGGACAAAGATGTTGACAAATTTCCAAAGACGGATGTAAACAGACTTGAAGATGGATTTGAGAGAGATCATGTTGAAATGGGAGAGTCCAATGATTAGTGTAACAATGGATAAAGTAATGGCGAGAGACTCTTTACTGAGTACTGAAGCCATGGTGTGTGTGTCTCTTACATTTCAGCAGGGGATTATGGTCGCTTTATACCCGTAATCACGGGCTGCAAGCTAGGCAGAATACAGGCACATGCAAGTCATCCCTCCTTGTGATCTATCACCCGTTGGGCGAGAGGTGTCGTGCTAGGTATCACAGTATGTGACGAAGCTAGTTTGCTGACTCACGGAGCTGTAACCCCCTCCATTCCATATTCCTCCGAGCCATTTGCCTATCATAAGCAAGATAGGCGGCGGTGCCTAGTAGAAGAGGGAAATGGCGTTCCACAAAGTGTAATATCGGTCACTGCCGAAGCTCAATGTAGGCAGTCACAAGAGTCTCGTCACACACCGTTTGGGCTGTGCATTGCATGTGTTACTCACTGCAAGTGGCCAAATGAGTGCATGAGTATTACGAACATGTGAAATGTGAAGAGGGGAGGCCAGGTCCGTGTGGCGTTTATTCAGCCCTCAATAGTTCAGCCCTGTGGCGGGAGCTAAGCGCGTATAGAACATGCACCATACCAAATCCACAACAGAATATGTGATAGTGTCCCGTAAGATCAATAGCCTATCGGTCTAGAACCAGAAATGGCCTTGTAGCGTCATATTATATCTCGTGGCTGCGGCTGAAGATACCTTAGGTATTTGGTGGTTGAAGCTTGTTTCTCCCGTTACGAAAACGTCGTGTTTGATTGGTTGATAAGGGTTCGAAGGTGAGACATGGCTATGCAGCTGAAAGCTGGACTACGTTTTCGGTAACGGTTCTCCGATTCCTCGTTAGCATCCATGGGCAAGAAGCTAAAAAGGTGTAGTGACACGGATGTAGCTGTTTGATACACCAGTTGATAGTAATATCATCAAATCGCGCATACTCTGCCACAAACTTTACCTTCGAGAGGGGTCTTGGGGTATTTTTATTCAAGAGGTTGCCGGATATCTGGCCAATAGTGGGACAGATTATTAGAACTAAGCAGTGCTGAGTCCTATCGATGCATGTTTCATAAATCTGAACTTTCAATCTCGAGCCGCTGGTGACTCGTTTCGGCTTGCCCTGTCTCTAAGTCTCTAGGTTGAGATGAGGTTAGAACGTCAGTCTCACTACGGCCTGGAAAGGCCAATCCATAATCCCATAAAACAATATTAAGATAGAAACCGCACAAAGAGTTTCGGCCATGTTGGGAGCAACAAGTGCCATAGAGCGAGCACTGCCCAAAGATGACCGCTATAGACTAGGGGAAACGAATTAAATCTCTCTGACTGGGACGCCTGGCAACCGACCGGCTCGTGGCAGGGACCGTAGTAAAGTCAGAAAAAGTAAAACGGGCGGTGTGAGACCTCTGTACTCTGTATAATAGTCAATTTCTTTCTAAGCCCGGCAAGAACCCTATAATGCATGTCTGATTCTAATCATAGCTTGCTTGGCTCGCTCACTCCTAATGAGGAAAATTTCCCGACGAGATCTTTATTATGCTTCTCCTTTATAGTCATGCGAACAACATTAGGGTCCACGAAAGCAACAAGCAGTTTCTCGTCGCCCTTATTGTTTCGCAGTCTATCGTAATAAAACTTGCTTCTTTCTAGGTCGCGAGGCCAGTATCTCTGATCGTCAATATCCTTCATGATCACTCGACCTTCAGGCCAATCGTTGGATCCTTTGAAAACAAAGGTATTTTCCTCAAAAGTGGCATGTGGAGAGATCAGAAAGCGTCAGCGATTGCGGTCGATTTCCTTTGCAATGCGAAGATGAGTCTGGTTTAGCTCTTTGTGCTCTATAGAAGGGAATCCGTTGATTGTGTATATCGATGTGTGGACGAGAGAGCTAATCACCTCTGCCAGCGTCGTTACCTAGAAGCTCTCTGGGAACTTGTCGAGCAGCTGAAATATAAGGTGATTGAACATAATCTGCTTCAAACCAGTCGAGCGACGATGCGAAGGGTGAACCATTGTGAGCCCAGTATGAATGATAGGGTCGTCTGAGCCTGGGATGGGGATAGAGAGAGTGGAAATGAACCCAATGAGATTGTTATCGAGGTGGGCGAGGACAACAATCTTATTCACGAGCCAGTTTGTACCACGAGGATTTTTCGGGACCTGATAATTCGGTATTTCGGGTAGACATTGACTGCATAGATTGCGTAATGATGCTTGGAGGGTTTCTTGCTGAACATCGGAGAGGAGAGTGTCCCGGTGATCAGCTCGAAATGATATTTAGAGCTCATCTTTCCAAACTGAACTAGGCCTGAGCAGCAGCGTTGTGAAGAAATTAAGTGCGTGGAATCAGAAATGTGACCCAGAAAAAAGGCTTGAGCAAGTTAGAGAATGCAGATTTGAGACTGAAAGACGCCAGTATTTATCATTTTAAGACTTCTCTTAGCTTATACCAGTATTATATTATATAGCGATTTAAATGCTAAATTGACAGTGTTCAAAGGTGGAAACTTGGCCTGATGACCCCCAAGCCCCAATCCTCTCTAGATGCCCTAAAACAACAGCCTCAATAATGTCAAAACATGCCCCTTATTACCATCGCGTTGACACACTGACTATTAGCTCTTATATGTTAATATACTTTAGCCTAGAAAGATAAGTTTCTTGCTAAAAACCCTCACTTGTTCTTAATAGGTAAAAGTGAGGCGCAATTATTTACTCCAGAAAGCATAGCATCAAGCCAGTACCAGTCTCGGTCGTTCTGCTCTTAGGTGAATGTCCGGTCCATAAAAGTAAGCAATACAAGTATCAAGATCGGGAACGTGTTTAAGACCTCCTCCACTAACAAAAGTCAAGTAGTCACCATCTTTCAAAGGTGAAGAACTCTTCGTCGCCAACATCATAACAGACAGCGACATCATGAGTCGCTTGTGTTGTTGCATTAGTACCTACCCAAGGTTTCATCCTTGACAACCCAGCTGGGAAAGGGGACGTTTTCCACGCAGCCAACCCGCGCCACGCTTCTTGGGAAACTGCCATATCTCTTCTACTTCGTCGATTTCCTAATCCTAGGGTTTCCTCCGATGATAGCAAAGTCCTCGGGGGATAGACCTGGGTTGTTCTCTTGTCCTTGATACTACACGTGAAAGATGTCGGTTTTCACCAGTGGAGTTACTGGAGACAGACTCAGAAGAGACATCTGATTTCTATTAGTTGTGCTAACACTGCTTGCTCTATTACCCACCTCTCAGCCCGATCATACATCACACAGGACTTTGCATATAGGGCATCTACTATTTACACCATGGCCTTTTGCTCCTTACTCACATCAAAGTTCTATTATTCTTGTTTGCTGTAATAATCACCATAAAGTTATCCCATGGACATCATACACACGCTGTAGCGTAAGCGATAAGCACTGGCATCCTCCTTGTCAACCAAACAGTCCCTGACCAAGACCAGTCTCCCCACCGTTGTCGAGTTTTAATCGAGGATCTACAAGACAGATCCCCATTTGATTCAAGGTTAGTCTTGGACCGCTTCTTGCTTTTGTGTGTATACTCCTGACTCTGCTTTTCCAACAATGGGTTTGTCGACGGCAGGGCTTTGTGTGTGGGTGGAGCGAATGATGTTTGGAATTGGCTGTATTGACTTTATTATGGGCTGTCGCATGGGAATAATCGATCGTACCAATATAGACGTATTTGTTCCTGGATGTATAATGTTTGTCGTTGGTTAAATAGAATTGAAAATGTTAATGTAAAGGAGAGAAGGGAGGAGGTAGCTGACAGCAATAACATTTATTCCACTTAGTGTATCAGTGTAATATTCACTAGTCTTTTAGAGTTGGTTGCTCAATTGTTAAAAGACTAGAACATTACTACTCGTCGGACTCATTAGGATTTTTATCCTTTAGATTTACTCAGAAGATGAGTTGGTCGCTACTCAAGTTCACGATATACGTATTGTTGAGCCCTAGATCACCGATCAGATCCTGCAAATAGCTGTAGTTAAGGCTCTTAAGAATGTTGCCAGAAAATTCTATGAGTCAATTGCACTTGACAGTCGGTTGTGCTATAGTCTGCTCCATTCAATATGTGCTGCGATCACCTGCGGTGCTATACCTTACCTCTCTTCACATTCCGTATAACAATGATAAGTCCGCAACAAAGATCATTTCCCAATAGCATACAAACTTAGTCTGACTCACCTACAGCATGCATTACACCATATTTAAGATAGTCTAGCTGGCAACCTTGTTGTTGGACTCGTGGCTCCTTCCACGACCATCAAACTTTGGCCCATCCCTGGCGGCCCGATGTCCCTGGACCTTCACTCAGATTTTGGTTCAGTTTGTTAGTGCAAGAACACCACACTAGCACTGCAACCACAGATTTAGGATACAATGCGCCACAGTCGCTAGCGAATTGGGGACACATCGCGTAAGAGTCCCTTTGACAAACACAGATCGCGATTTGATAATAACCTAGAGCTGTATCATACTTTTTAATCTACAGTTTATCAGGCATCGGAGTTCTTTCACGCGTGTTTTGCTATTTCGTAATGAGTTTAGTAAATACAACTATCTACCTTATCCGAATTAATTTACTTTGAATGTAAACGGCGAACCCCATATAACTAACATCACTTACGGCCAGGATTGTAGAACGTAGCCTTGTCACCCTCGCAACATCGTATTGCATTCGCCCTCCTACACTACAATGAAAGCCAAGGGTTGGGGGCAACTAAGCTAGGTCTCAACAGTAGCATGGGCAGACTAGACATAGACAGTCTCGGTAGGTTCATATCCACAGGCTCGGTCGAAGTAGTAGAAGCTCATGGGCGAAGAGACAGTGTAAAGCTGCATGCTCGAGACCTCGGCAGTGTAGAAGTAGCAAGTCTTGTACTTGACGTCAAAGCTGACAGCCTTGCATCCACCACGGCAAGCATCAAGACAGTTCTTCATGTTACCCTCAGCCTGGGACTTCTTGTACCAAGGGGTATTCGTGGCTCCGACGTAGCCAGTAGCTCCGCAGGTCTTGCCTACAGCGTCCGCGACGCAAGCTCGGTCGAAGTAGTGGAATGTCATGGGCGAGTTGGTGACCTGGTAAAGGTGCATCTTGGAGACTTCGGCTGTGTAGAAGTAGCAGGTCTTGTACTGGGTGTCGAAGCTGATGGCTTTGCAGCCGCCAGTGCAGGAGTTGAAGCAGCCCTCGATGGTGCCCTCGGCCTGGGACTTCTTGTACCAAGGGGTATTCGTGGCACCGACGTAGCCGTTTCCGCCGCAGATGACGGGTTCAGGTGCACCCGCGAGGCAAGGGGAGGCATTGGAGAAAGCCGCGAGGGCGGTAGCAACGACGGTTGAGAAGCGCATAGTGATGGTTGTTATAGTAGTTGTGTGGATGTTTGTGAAGTTGTTCGAGAGGATGCAGCACCATAAAGCCGGCTCTTGTGGTGCCTTATATAGGAGACTCTGCTTGACCCTCTGACGATTTTTACATCTTTTAAACGCCCTCGCATCCGTTTAGCGATTTCACCGTATGATCCGGAGCGACTCCCACCAACTTCCGAAAGCTGAAAGGCTGAATCAAACTATTGATCCGCCTGCATGATTTTCTAATAGCTTTTGCTTGGCTGCTACGCTGTTTGCTGCTAATTGTGTTTTCATCCTTGGCTTTAACAATCAGAGATATCAGCATGGTATCCCATTGGGCCTGGTCAGCTCTTGGCTGGGGGGTAAAGATAAGCACCAAAATAGCAGGAGTAAAAAGCCACAACTGATGGACTAACGGCTTTTAGCCGGGCAGAGCATGTGTTGTTCTTCGAACATTTGGTAGGCTGTCGTTTTGCCCACAACAGGTGTAACGGTGAATGCAGGAGGGTTTGGAACGCAGAGATGATCGCCAAAATCCGGGGTACTCGAAATGCAGATCTGGCAGAATGATCAGCAGCACCCTCTAATATTGAACGTTGTACATATGTTTCAAAGGCTGCCCATATTCATAATTCCTATGAAGATTTGGCCGCGTCACCCCAAGTGAGATGAGAATTACGAGGTTCGTTTAGAGTTGACAGTCGCCCGAGGCTTTCAATAGTCCAAAGCCACTTTTCTAAGCGAGCATGCGGTTGGATCATGGCGACTTGATAGCCCCGTGTACAGTACCCAATTAATCCTCCGACAACACTCCGGCCTTCTCTTCGTCCCATCAATCTTGGTGTGCTGTTTGAACCAGAGGTCGGCCGCTGTTGACAACGCACTGTATAGCCGCCAATAACTTTGGGACCATCAAGGTCGTAGCAATGTGTCATTGGCTTAGGCTGTCGGCCTTACCAGGATCTTGGGTCCCAGCAGCGGAAGGGTCGGGGAGATGTGCGGAATTGTGTTTCCTGTGCCTTGATGGCTGTGTATCATCGAACAGGTCTAATTGGATGAACTGAATTGCCAAGAAATGGTAGATCCATATTGGGTTGTCAGCTCGCCACGCTTTCTTTGATCAGAACCAACCATGCGATAAGATAGCCGAGTGATAGGATGCAACGTCGGGTTTTGACACCGCTGGACACGGTGAATGAGTGTTTATTTGACCTCTTAGCTCCTCTACTTTCAATAGCCTGATGCTAAGAAACGAGGTGGTTGCATGTAATGTAGAGTTGAGCGACTTCATCCGCAGCGATTGTGAAAGTAAACTCACAGTTTTGATATCATTATTTCCTGCATCTGAAGTAATGATTTGAGCAATTGAGTTGTCAATCTCCTACCTTGCCCAGCCATACTTCATCGTCTAGATCATATGAAGAAACAAGTCACCAGCGCTCAGGGATGGCAAAATAAGCATACGTCATTGGCAAAGGCGCTAACATAAGGAATCCACTCTTAGCTGGGCACCTCTTTTCATATCCTTGTCATATGTATAAAAGTACTCTCCTTGAAGAAAAAGTAGAGTGCTTGTTCTTTAGAGCTGCTGGGGAAGAAACAAGAGGAAAAGGCATTGATGAAACTTGTCTATGAAACGCTGTAGGTTGCACGCGCGTTATGTAGACCATATTCTTTTTATAGCTGGTAAGCAAGCATGCAGAGTCCGCTGATCTCAACGATAATGGTGAACAAGGAGCCTGGGCACGCAGTTTGATCCCACGCACGGGGTACCTAGCCAGCATTGGAAAGCGGATAACATTCACTGACAGGTACGTCGGGAGTACAAAGTTAACCCCCTACATGCAACAAGGCCTGTTGAGCATCCTGTTGGCCCTGTCGATCCTAGCAGGGATGATCTTAGCTCTGACACAAGCTTTGTTATTTCGTGAGGAGCAACAGAGATTGGAACTTCGTGAACACAACTGTCGTGAATGGCCTCCGTATCTTTCATATCAAATGCAACTGAAAGTGTTTTTTGTTTTTTTCTTCATTTGGAGATTAGAAAGCTTCGAGCCCGATTCTCCCAACCTGATCTGTTAAAGGCGAATGTGTAAGGGGGGTGACAAGGACTTGGCTTATGGTCAATGGTGTAAGGGGATGAGCCCCTAATTAGCGCAAGTACCTAATCACAACCCCATTGACAAGACAACTTCGGTATTTTCCTGATGAGTGACGACTAATCCCAGTCATTCGATGTAATCAGTATGTTTTTGTGTTGGAGTGCTCTGCTCTGCTCGCGACTTATTGTCATTGTGCACTGCAGACGACACGTATCGAACCAGGTGTTGTCTGACGGCAAGGCTCAGCGTCCTTTGAATGTATTGGCTAGAAATCCAAGATTTCCCGTACCTCATTTGACGTCCATTCTTATCCAACACCCTAGAACCCCTCATTTTGCTTCCTGTCGCACAGCCACCCTGGAGGTTGAAAATGAACAGACCAAGTCAGCACTCAACAGGCCGGCTGCATCGGGTGAGCAGTATTCTTTGAAAACCCAGCAATCTCGACTTGATCAGACCATAATTATCTGTTTCGAACCCTACAGACGGATCCCAGATGTTGAATGGATCCTCTCAGCATCACCAGCGCCTCAGTCGCGTTGGCCGCCGCTGCCTATAAATGCACGATTGAGGTAAGAAAGATCGTTGGCACGATCGCCGACGCGACCGACTCGCTCTCGGATCTAGCAGAAGAGGCTCAATTAATTCAAGGGGCTCTCCAGGGTGTTGAGGACGCCTTGCGGGACAATCATGAGGTATTCTCGCGATACAAGGTCGAAGAGGTTTTCTCCATTGCAGTCAAGGGCTGCCGCGCGACGTTAGCGTGTATCAAACAGGAGTTTGAGCTGCTTTTTAATCGCAGTGACTGGAAAGCTCGATTCCTGTTTCTGTGGAAGGAGGAGGACATGAAAAGGCTGCTTGGACGACTTGATCGCAAATGAGAAAGCATCCTCCTGTTACTTCAACTTCTGAGCCTCTGAGCCTACCCCAAAGGTCCAATGCGAAACTGTAATACGTAGCTAATTGTATCGATAAAGGAGCTTAGTACGAGAAGTTCAGGCGCTGGTCGCCAAGAAACATAGTGCTTTAACGAATGCGAAAGAAGACATAACGGCTCTTATACCAACCTACTGGACTGACCGTGATATACTTATTGAATCCCTTGATAAGGAAACGGTTGATAGCGTGTGAGGCGCATGATGCAAGCTATCAGCTGTAGGGTCTATTAACTCAAAATAACACTCTAATTAAAGTCAGTCTAGGCAATATACTAGCTACCTAATATAATTACCTAAAATAAGCTTTATAAGCCTATTTAAGAATGATTATTTCTAATATATAAAGAGAACTCTAAATACATTCCTTAGGGGATAAAGTGGCTGCCTTAGTCCCCTATTGTAGCTCTATAACTTAATATTAGCAGAAATACTTGTCAAGATGCAAGCTTCTATCACAAGAACAATCAAAACGGTTGATATCATCTATGCGGTCCGGGAGGATCGAGAGAGCAAGCTGAGTATAACTCAGTTTGACTTTGACTACGAACCTATCAAAACGCAGCCATGAGTTACCACGCAGAGAGCTTGACACAGCGGCCCAGGAATCTAACGTTATTATCATGGAGCCAGTTGAGGATATCACTGACTTGAGCTGTGAACCGAGTGAACAAGCCACCTTGATGCCGCCATTTATCGGCCCTCAGTCCATAGACCTACTAGGTCTGCAGTTCATGCCGATAGCTTCAGACGAGGAGGTAGATAGCCTAGGAGCCTATGAATACAGGATGGATAACCGGCTATTTGAGAGAATCCAGCTTGCCACCTGAAGTCCATCCTGCGGTTGCAGAGGCGAGTCGTATTGTCCTGGCTTCTGACAAGGTTTCGGAGGAGCTACTCGACGGCAGCCCCATGGGGAGTTCCCAAGCCCCAAACATTGGAGAGTTCGGTCTCCAAAAAAGCCTTGCTGACCTTGAAGCTAAGCACGGTCATGCACAGTAACAACGGGCAAGTCCGCGAGGATCCGTTGAGATCTCCGATGAGATACGGAAAGGCAGCGTGACAACAAAAGTACCAGGAAAGAATGCAAACGATTCAAGGTATCAATTTTATGATTCGGTACATATACCCGACGATGAAACAAGACCAAACACGGCCAGAAGATCACGCCCTAGAGCCAAACAAAGCGACTGCAGCAAAAGCACCGATTCCACCAAATTCAATCCAGGGACAGCGCCAGATGAAAAAGGCCCTATGCTGCTCAAAACTGTGGAAGATGCTATACAACGGTTGATTGTACCTGAACTCAATGTAAAACACGAGAAAGCTCAGCTAGGACGCCGTTTCACTGGAGAAGAAGTCTCTCGCTACATGAGCTCTTGCTAAGGCAGATAAAGAAGAGCAAGAGAAGGAACCTGAAAGGCAAGCAAGATGTTCATTACATCGCCAAACAGAATTAATGAGAAATTAAGGGATAGGTTGAATAGAGTATATGAATTGAGGAGATGGAGTTAATATAGTAAACACGACAACACAGAGACTGGGAGAGACGGATCATCAAACGACCGAAAGAAACATACTCATTCTTCACTTAATATGCGACTATTTATGCTTAGTTTCGTTACATGCTAAGAATTTGGATATCCAGCCGTACTCCCCTGCGTCTTTAGATGGTATATCTTATTTAATACATAAGTAATAAACAACTTATGAATGGACCTTTGGGAGAAAGGGACAGTTGTAGAAACAGCTTTAGCCATCTATGCATCGCGCGATGTGTACGAGGTGCTAGTTGTTGGCAGAACTGACTCAATTTATCCTAGCAAATAGCGATGACTTTATCCGAGTCATATCTTGCTGGGCATTGAAACAAATTATGTCATTCCACACCATCAGAGCATTATCGGTAAATAGGCCCGAGGAGCATCAGACTATCTTCCTTTTCTGGAAATCTGGGGTATCGGCCGGAAACGGACTTGAGAGACACTCCGTGGGTAGGATTCACGAAGTGGTGTGTTGTTGGTGAGGTGACATTGTGGAAGGTGGATATTTAGCCGCCGTTGAAGAAATGGGTCGAGGGATCGAATTAAGCATTTCTATTTGCGTATATCCGTATAACCGCCTCGCCTGCAAACATGTCAACTGTTGATCCAAGGATACTGTCTTGTGTTATTTTCTGGCTGGGCATGAAGTAGGTAGACAAGACAGGCACTTAGATTGACAAATTATCTACATATGAGAACCACCTTCCAAGACTCTCGTCGTGTCAACATATTCAAGTCAATCTCACCTAATGCTGAGCAAATACCACCTCACCCATCCTAGCACCCATACACATCACCCAATCTGAAGCTATTCGGGAAGCGGAGACTCGAAAACCCCGTAGACCACTGCACTGACATTAAGCTCACGCCACCAATCCCCTCAAGACAACGCTATGGTTGGCCTGATCTCCTCACGTCAATTGATCACCTGCAACCCTTGAAAAGCGGGCTACTGTATGATTGGGTTCTGGCGGGTGATCCCTGTAAATCACCCCTGTAATGGCTTTGCTGATGGAGGGTCAGATCTGACCGAATAACTCAAAGGCCCCAGGTTTTTTACGTTTTCGCATTTCGGTTTCGCTATGCTAAACGAGAAGACGGGCGTTTGAACAAGTAGGTTTGGATAGAGATTTTATAAGTATCTGATGGTCTTGTATAAAGAGGGATTGAGAGTAGTAATTATCTCTTACCTCAGTAACTGAGACATTGAAAAAGAGAATTGGGTATCGTCATGAATGCAGGCGAGTCGTCCATCAATAACTGCCAAAAGGTCCATCCCCCAAGAAAGACCTCAACGCCCATAAAGACAAAGCCCAATTGCAAAAGAACTGGTCTCAGAAAACCTGAAACTTCATACCAGGAAGACTTCAATGTCAAACAAAGACCGCCCGACCATCCGTGTTTTCATAAAAAATTGATTCGCGAAGAGAATGACTCCCAGGTATCCATCAATTTTCTCTAGTAGGCGACGGCTCTCTGCTTCTCTTCCTTTTCAAATCCTCGCCGTCGTGTAAACTCAAGGGTGACTGCTCGCGCTGATTTGGCGGACTATGCTCTGGCGTTGGAAGTCTTATGCAAGTGCAATGCCTAAGAAGTTCTTCGCATCTCGCAAGCCTTTCCAGAAGATCTTGATTCGGACGCCTGCGCTTCCTTGGCGGAGCTGGCGAACTTGGAGTGCAGACTGTTTTGAGCTGTTGAGCAGTCAGTATCAGGACTATTGGGACTTGTTAGAGCGGGTTACCCTTATGCAATTCGAACACGGACTCTTCCGATCGCATTTCTTTTTCCGCTGTTGGCAGAGCACACACGACAGCACTCTCTTGCCCGCCTTCTTTGGTTCCGAGTCCATCGACGTGTTTGTGACTGTAGGGCTCAAGTCCGTAGGCTCATCTCGATGCGAAGCAGGACTCGACATTTTCGTATGAAATTTACGACAATTATCTTTCTTACAATATTTCAACTTCCATCTCATGAGACGTAGATGTCGACTTTAAAAGCATATAGCTCAAATTCTAACCCTAAAGGACTAGGGTAAAGACGATTGGGTAGCAGATCATGCAACAAATCCATGGCGGGAAATGGGGTGCCACACTCGGGCAGTCGGGCTCGAGACTCATCCCGAGAGCTCCCCACAACTTCCCGAGGTCAGGGGTTGACATACCAGGATATTGGAACCTGGAGATGCGGATAATTCTGGTCAACATGCGACTCGGAAGACGCAATCTGTCAAGAGTCCGCTTGGCCGACTTAAAAGGACTGTGCGGTTGATGTGTTCATTATCACGATACTGAAGTTTTATTCCCAGCAGTTCGTTTCAGTTTGTCGTATTAGAAATTCTTTTGATATGAGAGGCTGCAGCATTGGAGATCAGATCATTATGAGTCCACTCGCATGCAAGTCGCTTGTACTCAATCTCTAGATTTCGGAAGCTCAGCACACTCAACTTATACTGTCTCTATTAAGGAGTCACTGATCGAATACCCATAGCACTCCAGAAAATACACAGTTCAAGCAAATCGATCATGGCATCAACTTATATGGGCGGTACCTCCGTCCAGCCAGCGCCACTACCTGGACTAGGATCAAATGTGACAGCAAACAATCAGACTACTTCTTCAACTCATGAGCCTCATACACCCGTGAATCCAAGTTCAGATACAACCCCTACCAACTATTCTGAAGACCGCGTGGCTTCCAAGGACGAAACACCAGCCAAGTCCACCACAGAAGATGAAGAAGACTCGGAACTCGAGCGCAGACACAGTATTGTCCGCGACTTGGCACGCCAGTATACCAACCAGAGTCAGATGTCTGCTATAAGTGGCAACCCCTTTACAGCCGATGAAAACAGCCCCTTGAACCCCAGAAGCGACAAGTTCAGAGCTTTGGCTTGGGCAAAAGCCATTTCGAAATTGCACAGTGAGACTGGCTTTACTAATCGGAAAGCTGGTGTTTGTTATCAGAACCTCAATGTGTTTGGATATGGTCAGCCAACAGATTATCAGAAGAACGTGGCCAATATCTGGCTTGACGCTGCTTCACTCCCGCGTCAACTGATGGGGTATGGAAAGACGAGGATCGACATCATTCGAGACTTTGATGGAGTTGTAAAGAATGGAGAGATGCTCGTGGTATTAGGACCGCCTGGATCTGGCTGTTCAACATATCTCAAGACGATTTCCGGCGAGACAAGCGGTATCTACATCAACGATGATGCATACTTCAACTACAGGGGTAAGTCACCAAACTCTCCAGATTCTGGACTGGCTGAACATCACCAGGCATAACGGCCCATGAGATGCACACCCGCCATCGCGGAGAAGCAATCTACACCGCAGAAGTAGACGTGCACTTCCCCCACCTCACAGTCGGCGACACCCTCGACTTCGCCGCCCACGCCCGCGCCCCACGCTCTATCCCTGGCGACATCGATCGCGAGACCTTCATCTCGCACTCCCGCGACGTGGTCATGGCCATGTTCGGCATAAGCCACACGGTAAACACAAAAGTTGGAAACGAGTACGTGCGCGGCGTGTCCGGCGGCGAGCGCAAACGCGTCACCATCGCCGAAGCATCCCTCAGCGGCGCACCGCTGCAGTGCTGGGATAATAGCACGAGAGGTCTTGATTCAGCGAATGCGGTCGAGTTTTGTAAGACGTTGAGGCTGCAGACGCAGATGTCTGATACGGCGGCCATGGTCTCGATATATCAGGCTCCACAAGCTGCTTATGATATTTTTGACAAGGTTCTTGTGTTGTATGAGGGCAGGCAGATTTTCTTTGGCGGGACGAAAATGGCGAAGCGGTATTTTGAAGATCTGGGGTTTGAGTGTCCTGCACGACAGACGGTGCCTGACTTTCTGACCTCGATGACAAGTCCGCAAGAGCGAATTACACGAAAGGGGTTTGAAGATCGCGCACCGAGAACTCCAGATGAATTCGCAGCAGCGTGGAAAGCCTCCCACGCCAACGCCCTCCTCCAACGAGAAATCGAAGAGTATAAACGCGACTTTCCGATAAATGGACCTGAAGCAGAAGAGTTTCGAGCGAACCGACGCGCAGCACAGGCTAAGAACCAGCGGAAGAAGAGCCCATACACGTTGAGCTACTGGCAGCAGACAAAGCTCTGTGTCTGGCGGGGCTTTAAGCGCTTGGTTACGGATCCGACTATAACGCTGACGCAGTTGTTTGGGAATTTCATCATGGCGCTGATTGTGGGGAGTGTGTTTTACAATATCAATCAGACGACTTCTAGCTTTTTCCAGAGGGGGGCTTTGCTGTTTCTGGCTTGTTTGTCTAATGCGTTTTCTAGTGCTCTTGAGGTACGCTCATCAATCTCTATCATAATCACAGCCTTGGCTAACAGTTTTAGATTCTTACGTTGTATGCTCAACGACCCATCGTTGAGAAGCACGATCGCTACGCCCTGTATCATCCCTCGTCTGAAGCAGTGGCCTCTATGCTCTGCGACATGCCCTACAAGATCCTGAACGCCTTCACGTACAACCTCACACTCTACTTCATGACCAACCTCCGCCGAGAACCCGGTCCCTTTTTCTTCTTCCTTTTCATCACATTCCTCGTCACGCTCTGCATGTCCATGATTTTCAGAACAATTGCTTCTGCGTCGCGAACACTCTCGCAAGCTATGGTCCCAGCTGCTCTGCTCATCCTCGCATTGGTCACCTTCACAGGCTTCGTTATCCAGATTGATTATATGCTCGGTTGGTGCCGATGGATCAACTACGTCAATCCGCTTGCGTATGCGTTCGAGTCGCTTATGGTGAATGAGTTTCATAACCGCAAGTTTGAGTGCAACTTGTTTATCCCTACGTATCCGGAT